TTAATGAACAGAACTACCCAGAAGCCTCAGACATTTGTAGGTGAATGTCACGGCTTGACAGATGATGGGAATCCTTCACTTGGGGAATTTGAAAGTGTTTGTGAGTTTTCTGAAGATGGACAAAACCAGGTTCTGGTGGGGCAACTAAATCTCCCATTGAGACCCTCTCTGGATGTTGATTAAAATCCTAAAATCTCATCTCTGTGTGTCAAAGTTACATCTCCATTAAAATGACACAGTCCTGCTTTGAAACGGCGTACATCTAGCTCTACTCCGTTTTTTCTGGAATGTGCAGATCGACGCAGTCCCTGCTGCAGTCCCTCCACCCTCATGGCAGCTCGAGCACACCTGCTCACCTTACAGCTATAGTCACACTCTGTAAAGCTATTCTACACTACACGATGGCAAGTTGTAAACTGATTATGAAGAAGACTACTGATACAGAGCTCCGCCCTGCAAGTTAACACTGGATTGGTTCCTTGAGGTGGAAATAATCTGCAAAGGTGTTGACCACTGATTTCCCTCATGATGTGTCTTCTGTGATCTAAAAGTACAAAGTGGACACTTTAAGAGAGGCTTTAAAATACAGTTCAGTTGAAAGTTCAGAGTCTGTTTCAGTGCACAGATAGGTCAGCGTCTCAGTGGACAGAAGTTTGGTGGAACATTCCTTTATTTTGCTTTAATAAGTCAGTGTCCCTGTGATAGTTTTGTATTACATAGTTGCATTCCAGCATTTGCAAACATTTTAGGTACGCTGCAACCACCTTACAAACTCCTTAAGATGTGATGCACTGTCACTGATTGGTTTGCATTTGTCATGTTGTTCCTGACTGTAGCTACCACTGAAGCACCAATCGGAGGTCCTGGTCTGGCATCTCCGACGCCCACACAGTCGGCTGTGAACCCAGGGACAGCCAGCAGCCCCTCCAGCTGGACCTCGACAATAGCTGCTGCACTGACGACCATTGCTGCCAAAGCTGCTACCAGCCCTGTGCAACCCACCGCTACCACCACCACCCCCAGCCCTCCCACCACCACCACGCCTCCAACCACCACCACCCTGCCTCAGCTAAGGATATTTGTTGTAAGTAACAAAGGGGAGCAGATATAGCCAGTATGGCCACATGCTTTTACTGTAACAATAAAAAGAAAACACTATCATGCCTTTGACTGACACCTATTGTTTTTTTTCTGCAGTATAGACTCAGCTGGAACGAGGTAAGCCCACACCCATTTCACTCCATTCTGCTTTGACATTAAAAGCTTCAAAAAGTATGAACACTACACGTCTGTCTTTCTATTTTGTCCTCTGTGACCTCCTGAAGTTTAAAAAAAGAAAGAAAAAAGGAAGACATGGCACAGTCTTATTGTCTGGATGGAATATTTGTGTGACATTGTGCAGAAAGATGACAAAAATATCAAAGGTCCCTTTTATATCTCTTTCTAACAAGTTGATATAAGTCTTGCCTTTCAACCCTGACAACAGGTTTGGATTAATGATCAGTTGTTTATATTAGTGTATAAGCTTATATATATATCAACAAAATCAAAATGATGTTTCCCACCGCCGCTCGAGGCTCTGGGTGGATCTCTGAGTGTCCAGACGCTGTGTTTCAAGCAGCAGGACAGGAAGCGCTGAAGCCTGCCATCAAAATAAAAAAAAAAGTAAAGGATTCCAGTCGCAGGGTGGAAAAAGTGTCTTAGTGGGAACCCTTCCTGCCTTTCACTAGCTTCCTTCGTTCCCACACCTCTCATATACTCCCCCTACAGCTGTGCCCTTCCACAGTACACCAGAAATAATCCACACATCACAGCACAGGAAGAAATGACCTCAGTTGCCACCTCTAACCTTCCTGTTGTCCCTTTTAACAGCACGGCAGAGTCCAGTTAACTCCACGTTGTTCACTTCATTATGTGTGAAGATATTTACAGATGTGTTCTTTGACCTCAGAATAAGGAAGAAAAGGATCTGGAGGAGGTTTGCAAGCGACTGATGCCAAACTGGGAAAATGGAACCTGCACGCTGACGTTGAGACACCACAACGGCAAAGTACACTTTGACTCTGTGGAGATAAATGGCAAAGGTACAGCAGCAGCCTCCCGTCTGAAAACTCACATTTATCAGGTTAGATTACATTGTGTTTTGGTTTTGCAAACAACTGAGTTGTAATTTGTCGTACAGTGCCGTCCAGCCTGGCAGCCCAGTATTATGAAGAAATCACCAAGGTGAGGATCCTTACGTGGATGTTTGTGCTTCAGCTCAGCAAACCCCTCAGTGCCGTTATTGTGTGAGTAATTTTCTTCTTGTCTTTTGCACGTGAAGAAACCGTCAGATAGCAAAACCCTGATCGTCATCCTGGCCTCTTGTGGAGGTCTGCTCATCATGATCGTCATCCTGGTCGTCTGCGTCTCCCACCACCAGCGCAGGCCGTACAACGAGAACCAGGTAGTGTAGAAGTTATTTGGAATGGAACCTCAGTTCATATCATTTAGGTGCTGGGGATCTTCTTTTAGGGGTGGCTAAAACCTGATTGTGGTTTCCTCTGTGTTGGTAAAATAATAAAAACAAAATACATATAAATAAATAAATAAATAAATGTGTTATTGTTTTGAGGCCATCCATAGAAAGGTTTCATGTTTTTTAGTTGCCTATATATGCACAAGCGCTGTTGACTGTCCTGTATGATGAGACTCTGCATTTTGTAGCTACCACCAGCAAAAGTTTTTTAGATTTTCTTTTTGTCATTCACACCTCGAGGTTTGATCTCATGCAACAGTTTATTTTATCCCTATTTCCATACTTAGTACGGCGGTGAAACAGGTGTTCGATCTGTATTATTAAAAAAGTTTTTAATTAAATTGAACTTAGTGACTCTGCAGAGACTCTGGAAAACAGACGGCACAAACCTGATGCCATGCACAGCTGACTGCCTGTTGCCAAATACAGTTCTTGTTATTTGCTTGCAGTCGGCAGAAGTTCTTTCAAAGCAAAAACTGCAGTCACTGCTGGCACAGTGTATGAAAGGCAAAAGCATAAATCTGACTTTTAGAATAGAAGATGGAGGTTAAACACCATCGTGCGAACTTCTATTGCTGAACAGTTGTCTAGACAGCACTGCTAGCCTGACAAAGAATGGGCTTGGTTGCTTACTACGTGTGCGGCTGCTGTTTTATCAGCAAAAACCTGCAAACTGATTCTGCTCCCATCAGTCTGAGCTGTGCTTTTTGTTTAGTGGATACAGTTTATGGTTGGAATCACATTCTTTAGGGAATGTAAAGGATGAACTGTTTAATAGCTCAACAATAAAAGCTTCATAATTAATGATCAGAATAAAACAAGACTAATTTAAATCAAAGTTGCATTGCTTCCATTCATTCTATTCACAGCTAAGAGGTCATTTGAAAGTTTGAAAGTAACAGAGACCAAAACAGGAACTTTTAGAAGGAGATGACAACTTTGTCTCTCTCTAAAATCTAATTTGATTGAGTTTCGTCACTCCAGAAAACACACTACAAATGATTTGTTGATCTCCGTAGCAACACCTGACGGAGGAGCTGCACACGGTGGAGAACGGCTACCATGACAACCCCACACTGGAGGTGATGGAGGTGCAGCCGGAGATGCAGGAGAAGAAGATGGCGCTGAATGGAGAGTTCAACGACAGCTGGATCGTCCCCATCGACAACCTGCTGAAGGAGGACATCCCCGACGAGGAGGACACCCACCTGTAGAGACCAGCAGGGACAGAGAAGAAGAAGAGGAGGGTGACAGGACCGGCCACACCAAAACCAATGCCTTACACTCTGGACCCTGGGAGCACGTCCCTGTAGCCACGCATGACTGTCTCACATAGAAGTACATCCTATAGAGCACTCGTGTCTCTGGCCTGCTCTGTTGGATGTATTTCTGCTGTATACGGCAATAAAATGTGACACAGTGGCCTGCTTAGAAAAACCACCACACCATCACTGTTGTGTTTATACTGTAGTTTTTATACAAATATTTGATATGTGTGACTTCCTGCAGAGCACAATTCCAATTTTTTAATATCATTTATTACATTTATGTAAACTCAGAAAGTGCCCCAAACACTAAGAGGACTGTGCCTTTTCTTTTCCTGCACTGGCACCATGTAAATAGAGTATTTTTATATCATTAAAACATGATCAGGAAGCCAGGCGATGCTGCAAACTGATCACTCTTGTGCCTAGAGGAACAGAGGAACGTAAACGTCAGCTGCCTCAGCAGTGCTAGAGTTACTAACGTAGACAGAAGACCTCAGGATGCTTTAAAGCATCCTGGTGATATTCCACTAGTGTGGTTCAGCTCTGAGGACGCTGCCACTAAAAGTAAAATAAATCCCACACTGGTACAAGTAACCCAATTGAAATCGAGGACATACCCATGGAGATGCTGCTTATGACAGATAGGTCAACAGTAATAAGACAGACGAGGGTTTTTATTCCAAAAGGCCACACATTGACTCTCAGTGTATGGAAAGCCAGAGGGGACATCTCACCAGCCTTCTTTGTGTTTGTTCCTCTTTATCTCTTAAAGCTGTTCTCACGTGATTGTGGAGAAAAGGCTCCATCTTTTGTCTATCATTTGAAAAAAAGTCTTTGCTTCGAGCCTTTTGGCGTTCCATACATGGAGGAAATCACTCAGCATTCTGAAAAAAGAAGCATCTATCATTTAATTACTGATTTTGACGGTTAAAGGGTGATTGGGGCTGAGTACAGCTTGAGTTTGATTTTGTGGTTTTGGCTGTCATTAGAGCTGCAAGGTGGCTCAGTGGTTAGCACCGTCGCCTCGCAGCTGGAAGGTCGCTGGTTTGCATCCCGGTGAGGACACCCGGGATCTTTCTGTGTGGAGTCTCCATGTTCTCCCCGTGCAGCGTGGGTTCTCTCCGGGTTCTCCGGCTTCCTCCCACAGTCCAGAAACATGTTGAGGTTAATTGGTGATTCTAAATTGTCCGTAGGTGTGAATGTGAGTGTGCTTGGTTGTCTGTCTCTAAGTGTGGCCCTGTGATAGACTGGTTACCTGTCCAGGTGAACCTGCCTTCACCCTGAGTCAGCTGGGATAGACTCCAGCCCCCCAAGATCCTAGTGAGGATTAAGGTGTAGAGATGATCACTTAAAACAAAGTCGAACAGAAAGAGCAAGAAGCTTGAGTCAACAGATGATCAGATGGGCTGTAATCATAAACTGTATGTAAAAGATGGACGTATCCTCTGCAGCATGGAAATGTCTTAAACATGCATTCTTTCTAAGAGCCAGCAGGGGGCGACTCCTCCGGTTGCAAAAACAGGTCTAATTGTGTGAAAGAAAGCAAGTCGACTTCTCACTCAGTTTGTTTCCTCAGCAAACAACTTCCTAATGAGCTCATGGTCTCAGTTACTACTTCAAAGTCTCCTGTTCGTTTAGTAAATTATCGTCCCATTTAGAGTACAATAGACGATAAAGCTGGGTGCGTTCTCGAGCGAGCCTCAGTCAGATCCACCCCTTGCTCATTAACTTCTTGTTTCCAAAAAACAAGATGGCAACAGCCAAATTCCAAAACCTGAGACTTCAAAACAGGAGTCCACAAACCCAAGGGTGACATGACTGTATGGTAAACTGCTTCACTGGGCTACACCTGGAACATAATGCAGCTGAAATATTGATTACAGTCTCCCATTGTGCAACTGTGGCCAAGAGGTCAGAGTTGAACCAGAGACCCTTTTACCAGTGCCAGTTAATGAGCACTGCGTAGGTAAAGATGCCTCCACCACTGGCGCTACGTTACATCTGTGGAGCTGTAAGCTGGCCCCTACTGAAATGACAGTTGTTTACTGCTGCATAAGCCAAATATTTTCAAGCTTTCCAGTTCGTATCTGCATCGTGCACATGTGCATTAGTGTTGACCCTGCTCGTGGCCTCTTATTGAGACCATCGGCTTCACATTGTGATGACGTCATGAAAATACAGCAGCAGACTTTTCCAAGTACAGCAGAGGTTTTAAAACCAAACGAAATGGATTCATAAAAATTTGTTCACAGCTTTACATGTCCTGTTCATGATGGAGGTCTTTGAGGAAAATGGTTTTGGGCTGCAGGGGAGCTTTTAGTTGTAATATTTAACGGTTCAGCATCTTGTACGCACCACTTTTGGCCACAGTGGCAGCAGTAGATCAGCAGAAGTCTTGCTGTAGAACAAAACCTTGGTTTTGTTTAATATCTTTCTGGCTGTCAGTTCTTCCCTCTGTGCTGTTGGACTGCACAACAGAACCACTGCTGATGGGAGAGACAGCAACACTACTAAAATACAACCCCAGCTGGAATCACCCCAAATGATCCTTTAACTATTGCGAAATCATTTTCTGTATCCTGGAACAACAAACCTTTTACACTCTCACAGACAATTTATGATTGACATTTGTGTCAAAGTGCAAAACCGATGGAGACGTTATATCTGTTGTCCACCGTTAGCAGCCCGGTCCTCAGTCAGCTCAACACTGGACTCGTGCCCACTTTACTGTTTATTGTACATAGTTCTGTGTTTTTTTTTGTGTCTGACGCTGGATGGGTCAAGTCATCTGACATTTCAAGATGCTGGAAAATCAAACTTTCACAGCAGAATCTGAACATTTTTTTTTCTGTTCAGTCTAATAATTTTCCTCCATTTAAACCAATTAAGAAGTTAATATATATTTACTTCCACCTATATACAAGTGAATCCATCACACCGGGCACTCCACTTCAACCTGTTTGTTATTGTGTGTTTGTGTGCGTCTACTGTTTCACCTTTATAGTTATACATATATATTATAGTTGTGCCATTTTTCACCAAAGTACGTTACCAGTATTTTATGTATTTATGGTTTGTTTGCCGCTGAAGGCGAACAACAGGGGTCTGACACACTGGAAGCTGTAAATTGTGGACGGCTGCGGCCGTCGTGTTGTTGTATCTGTTCAGATTTGCAAATAAAGGAAAGTTTTTTTTTTTCCATTTTGTTCTTGTGCTCACGTCAGTAGTAGCTGCACTCGGCCACCAGGGGGCAGAAGCACCGCAGAGACAGCAGTTAAGAAAACTTGAACAAAATACAATCTTTATTCATTATATACATTACATACAATGCAATACTACAAGGCTCTCTACACATTCACTGTATCCACAGAGTAGTGCTCACTGATCTGAGAGTACCAGCCTTTAAACTCCTGAGTCCCAGCCAGGGCTTAAGAGAAAACAAAGAGGAAAATAAGAAACAACTTTCCACACAGCGAATGTTGATGTGTGGAGGATATTTACCCTAAAATAGCAAAAAGAAAAGTAGTATTTGGCATTGTGTGCTTTTTTTTTTATTATTATTCTTTTTTTTCATTCTTTTTTTATTTTTATTTTTTACAAAGGTGCTTTCAATTCGTCTTCTTAAACACAGCTTTCTTCTGGCACAAACAGAAATGCTACGGCAAGTGTGGTAAGCCCTAAATATCACCAAAATGCCATTAATAATCCCTCATGTTGCTTTTCTTTTTATCTAGTGATTTGTTTTTTTTTAATAATCACATACTTGATTCTATTCGGTCTGTACCAGAGCAACAGAGGCAAAACATACATGAACACACACATGCCATCGTCCTCTTCCACCAGAACAAACATTAACACACCAAATGACCACGTACTGGCTTAAACTGGTCGAGCCTGCACTCTCCTCGTCTGGTGAATTTAGGGAACTAAATGTCTAAGCAGCTTGTGTTGGTTCCTGCTCATGCTAAACTGTCAAAAACATTAGTAATAATAAATGTAAATGCAGAGTGATGGAGTTTGCTAATCAGGGAAATGCAGCAACAATCGTATTTACATCGATGATGGGAAGTGAGAGCAGAGCAGCCCCACTCGGTGAACAGCCTTCTGAGGGAGGGAGGGCGTACATATGTTACAACAGAGCATTCTGTCACAGGTTACATGTGCTCAGTATTCATTTAAATACAGGATCAAGTACATGAGGAAGTGGGGCTGAATTTATCAGACACAGATTGCACATCACGTGCCTTCAAGCAGGGTTTGTAGGAGAAGAGGAGCTCATGTCAGACACCTGAAGGACCAAAGCCGCTGCTTTGTTCTGGTTCTGGACACGTCAGCCCGTTTGCTACAAGTCACATACTTTGTAGCTTAACAGCATTCATACTCTCTTCATGCAGAGATTTACATGAGACCACTCTTATATCTGTATGCTAAATATGACACTACTGGTAGGTGGTTAGCTTAGCTTAGCTTAGCCCAGCGCCTCCAAACAGGGTGGCAGGAGAGTCCTCAGCCAGTACACTCAACTGGGTTAACAGTGAGCTTTACAAATGCTGCTAGGTGGACTTCATTACCTCTGGAAAAAGCCAGGCTAGCAGTTCAGTCTTTATGCTAAGCTACGCTCGCAACCTGCTGGGACGTAGCATCATAGGGAGGGTACCTATACAAGTGTGGTATCAAACTTTTCAGCTAACTCTCAGCAAGAAAGTAAAAGCCCAGATAACCCATCACACTGAAGACACAACCATGTTCTGATTTCACACAAGTGACAGCACCGCTTCAAGTCTCTGCCAGCTGATTTTCACAACATACTGAAATAAGCACACAGCTGTCTGCAAAGCAGCACACACTGAAAAATCAACAGTCAGTGGTCATTCGAACGAGTACGTTTTGAACAAAGAAACAACACATATTAACTCATACAAACAAAAACTTCAATTCTTGAGCAAGAAGACAGCCCTTGCTCAGTGCAGTACACTCAGTAGTTTTGCTATTGAAGCCTTACTTGGTCTGGCATGAACAGTAACTTAGGGTGGCTAATGTTAGCATTAGTTAGGACTGGAGAGACACTGCTGTGTAACAGATAATCTTCCTCTCTAGGAGCTATGGTTACATTGCATTTTGGAGTTTATCTTTCCTCGATTTGCGCCGTTCATATTTCTATATTTTCATGTTCATATTTTTTGTGTTTTACAAAAAAAGCAATGAGATATGTCATTTATTTTTTTAGCAGTTGGTAAAAGACCCTCTGGGGTTTTCAAAGACAAACACAAATATATATTTCAGAAAAACAGATGACTTGATCTGACTCCACTATGATGTGAAAACATCATATCCTTTCTCGTCATGGCCGCGGTTCAGCTAAAGCCGTGTTTCCACTGCAGGAACTAACAGAAGTTCCAGGGAGACTATTTTAACTAAACTTCCTGCTCACGGGTGCTTTCTTTTTCGAGGTGAAGGAACTGTTACAGGTGGAACAGTCCAGCATTTTCTCCGTGTTTTACAGCAGCCATTTTAACAACCTGCAACTCCAAACAGGTTTATGCGATTGTGTTTGGAGCGACAGAAGTAATCCTATGGTAGATGGATTGATGTCAAAATCCAGGCTTTTCTCAGCGTTTATGCCTTAACCTTGTTAAGTTTGTCATCATTTCATATTGTTGCTCAGAAATGAGGTAGTAAAACAGCCGACTGTTTTCGATGCTTCAGCTGACGAACACGCCCAATTGTCCCAGGTATCTATACCAAGGTAAACATGTGGATAACAAAGTACTGACTTAAGTGTCATGGACAGTCTCCAGAATTAGTCCTACAGCTAAAACTTCCCGGGGCTTCTTGGTGGAAACACGGCTTAACGTTACACAAGGTTTACTTTTAGAGTTTAAACTTGCAAAAACCCCAGAATGGTCCTTTAATTTCAGAATAAGTGCATTAATTGTTAATAACTGTCTATACAACGCTAAAGAGAGACGTAAATACAATAACTAGTTCATGTAGGATCTTAAAGTCTGTGACTCAAACACAGGGTTTGAGGAAATAGTTGAACCTGACACGGTTTTTAGTTACACAACTCACAGACCACGTCGTTGCTCAAACTGCCCTGCTGATCTTCTCCGTCTGTTTTCAATGTTCCTCCAGCTCATAGATAGAAAAATGTTGATCCTGTACAACACACACAGATTATCTACAAAGTCTGGCTAACAGTCGCAGCAGATGTGCCAACGGTGACAAGTCATGTAGTGTTCTGATGCGTCACAGGTGTTCTACACACTGGAAGAGACAATCAAGTGTTGTGGCTGCACCCGACCTCGAAACACTCCAGTGAGATGTTAGTGATCACGTTCCCCATGAAGGACAATCAGTTTGTGTCTGAGAGTCATGGAAGACAACGAACAGGAAAACTGACATGGTGGGACGTTCGGTGAGCAGTAAGCACCAGTGGACATGAATCCCAAGTCGCCCAACATGATTTGGTGACAGCAGAGGTAAACGTGTTGACTAAAAAGCTCACACCTGGGCGGTGAGCGGGGAAGCAGTCCTGCAGCCGAACCCCTGCCGCCGTTCGGAAGCGTGTCCGAGTACGACCCCGACACTCTGCCAGCACTTCACTCCTCCACAGCTGTTTCTGAGCTGCTTCACTATTTTCCTGTTATCTCATCAATTTAAAACTTGATTTAAAGTTGCTACCCCACAGGTGGTTCTTCCTTTTCGGTGAACTCACATCGAGTACGTGACATCTCACTAGAGGGCTTTAGCTGAACTAAAAATCATCAGTTTCTCACTTTGGGAAATAAGAAATATTAAATAAGCTTTAGAATGATGACCACAGATGCCCCCTTAGTGTCTCTGAGTTTCCTCTGTAGTGTCTCTCAGAGAGAAGAAGCCCACGAGCATGGACACTGATCAGTTCTAGTTGTTTGTGTGAAGATTTAGCAGGCAGCCGTGAAAGTCTTAAATCACAGAAACTGACAAACAGCATCTTGCCCAAGGACACTCTGACACATGGAGGGGCCCGGGATCGAACTACCAACCTCAGGTTTAGTGGACAACCCGCTCTACTACCAAGTCATGGCCACACCCAATAACAAACTCAGTGGAAAGAGTTAGCTAAAGAGCGAGGCTTAGCTCAAGATCACAGAGACAGCATCATTTGTGTGATCAAAAAAAACAACATCGACTCAGTGAGAACTTTGGTTCTATCACGTTCCATATCTGTGTGAATGTGGCACAAATACAGCAGCGGGTGTTCTGACTAGATCCCAGAGGAATTCAGCCTGTTGACACCAGATTAATTAGCAACTGTTGAGAAAATCAATCAGGTGTTTGAGTAGTTTTTAGGCAAAAATGCTACAAATTTGCTTTTTTTTTTAGTTTCATGGGCTCTGATAAACTGTGATGGTTGTTTGCTGTTGGTTTTTTTTTTGCCATTTTTCTAACATGTTAAAGACCAAAAAAACCCAATCGATTATTTAAAAAATGATCAGCAATGACAATGCTAACAGTTACCAGGTGAACGTATGGGATTTTAAGGAGGAAAAAACATTTCACCCACGACCTCGTCACACCAAAGGAACGTCCTCTCAGCTCAAACAGACTTCTCCCACTCTATTAATGATCAAACGTAATAACTGGCAGCAGCACTTCATCCACACACCCACAGCAACTATTTGAGATTCTTTTCCACAAGTAATGACGAGTGTTAAACGTAGAGCCGGAAAGCTTCTGTACGTGGAGAAAGAACGCGATCCATCACAGGAACTGTCCAATCCAGGAAACTCTGAAAAACTCCTAAAGTATATTTACATATTCTGTACACCATGAAACCACTTAGAATTAAATTACAGTCCAGTAATTACTGAGGAAAGAACTTGTATCAGCCAGTTTTACAGGGATAACAATCAAAACCAATATAAATGTATACTTTAATATATATTAAACTTTATCGCATAGAATCATTCCTCTTCTGTTCCTACAACACTATTAAAATTGTTCACTTTTTTTTTTTTTTTTTGCATCTGCGTGGCTGTCACGATCATAAATAGGGGTGTGTGTTACAGAAAAGCAAGCTAACCAAATCATCGAAGAGAAAGCTGAAATATAGCCAGAAATATCCTAAAGTTCAGGAGAAATGTTGGAAAGAATAGCAAAAGGACACGGGAGCTTGTGTGCTGCTGACACCGCCCCGTCTTCAAATAAATAAATGGATGTGAATTGAACTTTTGCAACAGCCGGCCCAAACAGACGTCACTCTCATCTGTTTTGCTCCAAATGTGGATCGACGCCTGTGGTCAGCGAGTGGAAGTTTGAATGTACAAATCCAGAGTTTCCAAAAAAAAAAAAAACCAGGAAGAATCAATGAAAAAAGATTGCAAACAAATGTGCAAATCCTCTTTTTTTGGCTTCAACTTTCTGAGAAGAAAAAAAAAATTAAGTGCAGATAAAAAAAAAACTCAAGCAGGGCTGTGCGTGCTCGGCGAAAACAAAAGGAAAAGCGCACACACCTCAGGCTGTCGTGGAATTGCGCTCATATCCAACTAGCACAGTGTAGTGTGTGTGTGTTTACAACCCTCGTCGTCATGGCAACGCAGCCCGTGACAGCAGCAGGTCAGTGTGGTGGAGCTGGATTAAGTGTAATCCCACCAGCAGGGTTCAGGAATAGAAAAATAACTGGTCTCTCGTCTCCGCATCAGGCAGGCGTTCAGTCAGTCCAGTTGGTGAAGTGTCACGAGGCGGGCGGGGCTAGAGGGTGATGAGGTCCACCAGGTTGCCCTTAGGTGGCGTCATGCTGTCCGGGAAGAAGTTGACGAGCGTGTCGAAGAGCTGCGTCCGCTGAGCGTACGTCTGGTCCACGTCTGAGAAACCTGAAGAAGAGGCAGAACGGAGCGGTGAGCATGATTGTTGATCCAGAAATAATCTAGTACAGAACAGAGCACATGTAGTGGCTGCTGCAGCCTGCACACGTGTTTCACAATCACAGACTACAGCTCCGCTTCAGCTTCATTCTGCAAATACCTTCATCCAAACTAAAACCATGCCAGAACAGGCAGCTGCCCTCCTACAGGGCACATACAGAGGACCAGCGAGGCCCAGAAAGCCCCTCGTAGTGGCTCCCCCGTCTCTGAAGTACATCGTTTATTACAGATTACAACCATTTCAGTGAGAAGGTTTTGTGTCACGGCTTCATCACAGAACATAGTTTTAGTCTGGACGAAGCATCAACACTAAGAAATATGACACAATGCATTTCCAGTAACTTACCCACAATGCACTCTAACAACCCAAAGACACAATGACAGCATGGTAGGAGGAGAGGAGCTGATCTCGTGGGGAAACTTCACAGGAACATAACACAACAACAAGGACCCACTGGACCTGTACCACACACAAGTTATCTACATGGCCACCTCTCTAAGGACCGAGGCTCTGCTGCTAACACAGCTTCTCATCAAATGAAGAGACTTTTGAGTCTAGCAGCAATAAGTGTTACCAGCTGTCTTTCACAAATACGGTAAGAATACAAGTCAAACAAACTTCAAATGACTTTAAGCTTCTTGTACCCAACCACCATCCCCACCCTGAGAACCCAGACAGCACCTAAACCCTGTGAGCGCCCAGGGTAGCCCGTCTGTGTGACAGACAGTGGATACAGTAGAGCAGAGAGGGATCTTGGCAGCGCTCTGTGTGCACACATCTGGACACAATCAACCTTTTGGAAAGCTTTCTTCCTGTTCGTCAAAATAAATTATGTTATTCAAATCATTTCTTCAACACTTCCTATTAAGGGAGGTGAACATATCTTCTTTGACAATCCTGCTTCTGGTTTTTTTGTTTGTGAAATGTTCAAAAGAAACAGCAGTAAAGAAAATATTTCCAAAATAAGTGATTAATTTGGAGAATTATACTTCAAAATAGAAGCTGTCAAACGGATTCAAAACGGTCCTACGTTCAAGTTAGTGTGATGACCCAGTGGTGCTGCTGTGTCTTGGTAGGTGGACACCTGCTGGCTTTAACGAACCCCCAGTTTGACTTAATTGTGCTTCATAATTACTATTTCCATCATAGATTGCGCTAATATTTATATATGCTAAGACATGGTGCGTCCTTACAGATCACATTAGACCAGAATACAGAAGAGACCAACAATAATAACGCTGCCTCCACATGAATTCATCAGGAGGAACAACTCACCACCAGCTGGATGTTGTGATTACTCTGACAGGTCAACACAGTCGATTGTACTGAGGGTTAGCTGTTTATACTGCTCCTAAACCAGATGTCCCTTCTTAATCTCAATCAGTGTTTTATTTGGCTAAAGCAAAAGCAAAACACAGCACAGCACTCACAGGGGTGATTCTCTAAACAAAGAGATATTTAAAGTATGTTTCGCTGACATTTTCAAGCTCAGTCTTTCCTTGGTAATGACGGTTTTTTTTGTCATATTGCAGAGTTGAGCCCTAAAGTGAAGCTTCTATAACAAACATTAAGTGAAGAGTTTGACTGGCACGTTGCTCTCCAGCTTCAATCCTAAGCATTATTTGATTTTGTTAAGTCCAATTTTGTATTTAAACTTTGTTCCAAACTGAGGAAAACGCTGTCGGACAACAGCTGCTAGAGCATTCTGGACAGATAAAAACCTAACATTCAAACATGCAGGCGAACCGAGTCCAGCTGAAGTGATGTTCCTACGTGGACATGAATCGTTGTTAGAATGATTCAATGATCTTTGTGAAAATACGCACAGTTCTCATTGTTTTTTGAGCTAAAAACACTTCTTCCTTTTCTCACACTCACAAGGTTCAACAGATGCAATCCACATTCACAGCATTCTCACAGACTGTTCACAAAGATCAATGGATCATAAGACAGAATTATTCCAACAATTGTGCTTTTATGAACAGTGATCAGGTTCTTACCCAGAGGGATGAAGTCAGAGCTGGACTTGAAGAGCGCCGACGGCAGGAGCTGGAACTGTAGCACAGCACAAACGCCTGAGTCACTTCAACAGCACTGAACAAACAAACGGCCTGAGCAGACGAAGCCACGGCTGCTGCTGCTGCTGCTGCAGTAGCTGCTGCGCCCCTCTGAATACAGATGAGGGCAGTATACACCTTCTAATCACTGATCTGTCTGGACAGATGGAGGTTACAAATTACAGTAACGTAATGGGACTTCTTGTATTATTCACAAAGCGAGACGTGTTCGACATTCACAGCAGCCTTTTCCGACTCATTCAGAGCTCACGTCACTTCTGATTCTCCTCCTGCTTCTCTCTAGTTTTGTCTTTCCTCCGTCAGCATCAGGTTTATTTAATGTTGACATTTTTCTTAAATACTGAAAACTGAAACTAATTGTGTAAACACATGCAGACAATGAAGGCTAACGCGGTACCTCTTTGGTCTCATCAGGGTCTGTGTGGTCCACAGTGAGGGACAGGTCGTTCTGCAGGTACTTCAGCGCACTCAGTGGCTCTGACTGGGCTTTCTCCTCGAACCTGGCCAAGACACAGCAATGGTAAACAAACAGAGGGGCTGCAGTTACAGCTATCAACCACTAGATGGCAACAAAAGCGAGGCAATGTCATGCCCACAGCTCCACAGGCAGGAAACAATGAGCCGGATGGAAGATTCCACAGACTCTCCATGACTTTCCATCAGCAAGTCAAAGGTTTTTCATGTTGAATTACTTTCCCCTAAGATGTTACTTTCCATCTTTAAAAGGTCAATGCCTCAACAGTTGGCATTGTTGTTGACAAATGTACCAAAAGGAAACAACATCTGGTGGCAACACATGAAAAAAAGGAATGTGAAAAATCTCATGGACTGTGTTTACATGCACAACAGTTTCCTCTTTATGAGCTCCAGCTCAGCTCTGATCGTATTTGGGAGACAGTGAGCAGAGAAATCTGGTTGTTCATATCCCTGTGTACACGATAAACACTAATAGCAGTTTACAGAGTACTGTGTGCTGTTTGTGCTGTTTACAACACAAGCCAGCAATTTAATCTGACATTCCTGTAACTGTTAGCCTAACCTTAAATTAATCTGAATGGGGATAATAAAAACGAGGCCACTCTGGCTTATAGGGACTTAGAGCTGTTAAATGCCAGCATCACATTGCAGTTTGGCTTATCCACCTTATTGCCAGCAATGGGAGAAGAGGGCGACAAGAAGTATTAAACATTTCCTCCACTTGAACCGGTGCTGCCTGTCCAGTGTAGGGAGCAGTGGATGAAGACCTGCAGCCATGACGGGTGGGATAGAGTCGTCACGACGGGGCTGAGTGACCCAGCGGAGAGAAAGCCTCTGTACGGATAGAACAGCCTCTGACCGACTGTGTGACACAGTTAGATTGTTGGTGAGCCCAGAGGAAACAACAGCACCAGCACCATCTCCAGTTCGCTAGCTGCCCTGGGAATACTGCCCGTCTGCCTGCTGGTTTGGGGTTCAAAGAAGCACGGCCACAAAAAGTGTATGTGCTGCGCTGTCATGGACAAAACTTTCAGCCGCTTCATACAAGTCCTAAAAAAGAGAAAGCCTTCCAGATAGTTTGTGGTTCTGTGTTTCAACAGCCTCCCCTGAGCAAGTACCTGGCAGAAATCAACACGAGGTTTCCATGCAAGAATAAAACAGTGGTCTACTTCAAAAACCTGATCATAACCAGGACACTAAGGTCTATGGAAAGACAGTCATCGTTTCACCAAGGTCCATTTTGTCCAACTCCAACATAACTCTACGGCGCTCATCTGTTACCAGTTCCTCTCATTGACTACCCATTTAGAATTTGTTAACAGTTGCAACAAATTGTAATTATAACCTGAGAAATAAATAATACAATAGTGATAATTTCCAAACAAAAATAAAAATACAGATAGAGGTAGATGAGAAGATCATCAGAAAAGCAACATGTGGTGACATGTTGGGGAGTACCTTGATGATTCTCAGGTTCCTGGTCTTTCAACTGAACTAAATTTTTGATTTTATAAAGATATCCAGTTGGGAATGTGAGTGTGCTTGGTTGTCTGTCTCTAAGTGTAGCCCTGTGATAGACTGATTACCTGTCCAGGTGAACCTGCCTTCACCCTGAGTCAGCTGGGATAGACCCCAGCCCCCCTAGTGAGGATTAAGTGGTGTGTAGATGATGGATGGATGGATGGATGGATGGATGGATCCAGTTGGGACTAGAAGGACGTCTGAAGACACACAAATGTCCCAATCTAGTTTTTCTGGGTGCAAACCAGGTGCTTCCACTGTTCGACACATCTGATACAGACCGTGAACCAGCACTCGTATTCATCTGACTGATGAATAAAATAAGCATCTTCTAAATTTTCATAAACACCAAAATCAAAATGCTATAAAAGTGCTATTACAACTGTATAAAAGGCCATGAATTTAATTTGAACTGGACAACAAGGAGAATAGCCAGCCCCGATGCAGCACTGAGAGCAGGGTGGTGGTGGTTGCTGCTTCAGACCTGTATTTCCTGATGAGGTATCTGCAGTGGCGGAGCAGGTACTCCTTGGAGGGCCGACACAGTTTGAGGGACCAAAAGTCATCCAGGCGCATCTTCGGAGAACAAGACTTGCCGGGGTTTCCACCAAATAGGTAATGCACCTGGAGACACACAGGAAACAAACCAATCTGATGAAATCTTCTTTTCCACTCTTCCTTAATACACGGAGAAATCTCCTACAACATGCAGAACATTTTGTTTTGTTCTGCCTCTGTAGGATTGTACAGAATGTGTTGCAAGAAACACAAAAAATCTTGATGTATAAATTTAGAACAGAAATGTAGTTCTATTGCCTTTTCTAAATGTATGTTACACACGTGTGTTTTCAGCATGTATCCTTCAGTTTTAGGCTATTACTCGTGACGACAGATGGAGAGCAGCTGCATTAGAATACTGTACGATACATCAATGTATCTGTTAAAAACCACAACTATACAAATAATCAGAAAAATGCTGAAAACTGGATGTGATAATTGGTTGATCCCAGGTAGATTTATTTTTACCGTACAACTGAGTCAAGTGATTATGCTTGGCTGAGCTCGTAAGAATCTCTTTGATCTTCTGATCTAGCTCTAGGCAAGCAAGCAGGAAAGAAAATATCCTGAATGTACTGACCTCAGTAGCAAAGACAGCCAGGCCTGTATTTGGGTCAGGATTATATCAGAAACAAGGGTAGTGTTTCTAATTTCTCCTGCTCCCTCTGTGTTTACCTGTTGCCTTAATAAAGCCGGTATAATAATCACCATATGAAGCTACTATTTATGAGACTTTTTACTTCCTCGATAATTTTCACCTTATAGGTCTTCAGTTAAAAGCTTTTTTTTAAAAGTTATTTTTATGGCCTTTGTGCCTTTATTTGATAGTTCAGTGAGAGAGAGGCAGGAAAGTAGGGGAGAAGAATGGGGGGAGGACATGTGGGAAAGGGTCATGAGCGGGATTTGAACTCATGACCTCCACATCGGGACCGCAGTCCTGCACATGGGACGCCAGCTCTACCAGGTGAGCTATAGCGGCGCCAGTTAAAAGCTCATTTTAAACATTAAGCAAACAAAAAAAAGCATCATGAGGTGTTAAGGTTGTTGTACAGTTTGAAATCAGATGTGTGGCAAAGAGGAGATGACTGGAACTATTTAACCAAGAAAACATCATTGTTGTTAATAAAAAAATAACAGGACTGACCACGAATTGGAATTTTTGTTAGTCAAACATTCATTCTTTCCTTACATTTGTACCGCTGCTACACTAAAACATCAGCCTATCTACACACTTTATGTCTGACCACAGGAACCTAATCAGCCCTGTGAGCATATATGTGCTGGTAATGGTACCCTTTGTTTTTTTTTTGTTGTTTTTTTACAGTCGCTTACTTTCCACACCACCGGACACACAGGCTATGTGACACACAGTTTCCCCATAACACTGTGTTCCTGGAAGGTAAAGGCTCGGCCGGTGAGAAGAGCATCACTCCGCCTCAGGTTGCAGAAGTTAACCACAAACGCAGCGCATGTTGTCACGTGTATGAACGAGTACGTAAGTTAAATAAGCATTACCAGAGATGTTAGACTGGTGCTTCTGACTGCTAAGGGACAGGCCTAAAGGCTAGAAACCACGAGCAGCAAAGTTCACCCATTATCTATACACCGCTTAATCCTCACTATGATCATGGGGGGCTGGAGTCTATCCCAGCTGACTCAGGGTGAAGGCAGGTTCACCCAAGCACAACCACATTCACACCTACGGACAATTTACAATCACCAACTAACCTCAACATGTTGTTGTCCAAAAACGAGCAGCAAAGTGAAATTCAGTAGTCAGTCCCAACAGAATCTTTCAGGTTTATTGTGAATAATGCAGCCACATAATGCTTGCTGACGTTTTTGGCCTATTTTTTCAAAAACAACTTTGAGAAATTAAAAAAAATCGTATTGTTTGAGAAACAAAGTTGTTAATTCTGATTTGGCCAAAAAGGACATTGTGCTCTCACAGCGCTCCCACGAATACTGTAACGCATGAATAATTGAATTTGTGTGTTTTTTTTCCTGAAGTTAGAATTTTAAATTCCAACAAAATCTGAGTCATAGCCACGCTTGTCATCTTCTCCTCAATCTGACTTGCTACTTTTGCCCTTCTTGCTTTGTAAAAAGTGATAAGTGTCCACTACGTTGTGATTCTTTCTAAGATGACTTGGCGTTTACTTGGAGGTAATGAGGGGGCAACCCTCATTCAAAGTGTCGATGGAACAGAGGATGAGTGGGTAATTCAGACGGGGCGATGCTGACTCGATTCTGTGTGAATACAATTTGGAGTCTTCTGGAGTATCATTATATTAGTTATTGACATGAAAACTACGTGACACAGTTCACTGTGTGTGTGTGTGTGTGTGTGTGTATGTGTGTATGTTACTTTGTGCATCTCATCGTAGACCAGCTGGTGTGCAAAGCGTGGACACGGTTCCTCTTCCTGCAGAGCCTTGCTTGGGTTTTCTTTCACTGCCTGATCGTTCTTATACACGCATGACCTGAGCAGGAACACACACAAACACACACACACACAGACACACACACACACACACACAAACAGACACACACACACACACACAGACAAGGAAAAGAGGGAGGAAGCAAAATTTACATAAGTGACAACCAGAAATCAAACACTTCCTGTTGCCCTCAAGGAAAAACTGTTCAACAAATGCAGCTTGTTACACACTTGTGTCCAAACATAAACACACACATTTGTACTTCTGTCTTTGTGAGGACCATCAGTGACATAATGCATTCATTAGCCCTGTCAACCACCCTGATCTAAACCTGATGCAAACCTGAATCACAAAACTAAGTCTAAACCTGCAAGCAGCCCTCTGAAGAGGTCTTAGAGAGTAAGGACCAGCAGAAGTGTTGTCACTCCACAGTTTAAAACTGAAGTTGGTCCTTACAAATAAGAAGCACAGGTTCACATAATGCTGTTAAGTGTTTCACAGACTTATTTGACTGGACACTGAGTACAAGAACAGTTACTGAAATCAATGTACTGGAACAGTGACGGCTGCAGCCCGACAGCCTGTTCTTTCACAAACAGCAATCTAAATATGACGCGTGCACGCACCCACAGGGAACAAGCAGTTCCCTCGTCGATGGCTGAGGGATTACCAGCTGTGTGTGGAGAGGTCATGAAATGCTTTGACATGTGACCATCTGACATTTGTTTAAAAATGTTGAGTGTGAGGAGCATGTGAGTGTTGTATGCTTGTACTCTCTGCTATCTGTTGTGGTGAAGACCTTGGCTACAAAAGAGCTGGTGTGAGTGAAAGTGCTTCCTGTAAGTGTTGTTGTGGTTACGATCAGAGAAACACTGCAGCAGCACAAAGTGTGTGCCTATTCTTCAGTCTGCCTCCTACCAGTTATTGCGGGCGATGTCGTAGATCCAGAAGGAGTTGCGGACGTTCTCCTCGCGTTTGTCCTTGTCTTTGCTGAGGCCTGACAGGACGTGGATCTCGTTGAGTTCGGGGTCGATGGTGGCTCTCTGGGTAAAACCAGTCATTGGAACTGCAAAAGCAACAACAAACGAATCAACAGGGAGGCCAGCTCAGAGGTAGAAACATTTACCTCTCCAACAGGTCTGATTCAGCAGCGATAAGGAAACAACGCTGTTTACAAGTCACGCATGTCAGCAGTTCTTATTAGCATAGGAGGGAAAACGTATGTAAACGCAGAAGACAAGTTCCATTAATAGTAAAACTTTCTTCTCCACAACATGAAAAAATAGTAAAGCAGCAAGCAGCTGTATTAGAGGCTATCAGAGAAAACTACTTGATAACATAGCAACGTGCCACCATGGCAACAAGGACCAACAGAGAGAGAGAGAGAGAGAGAGCGAACAGAATGCAAATTCAGCTTGGTGTGATGAGAAACACAGACACACAGTGTTGTTGTTCTGCTGTGATTACTGCAGACCTGAGGCCGGCGGTGGCTACAGCAAGGCATTGAAACAACAAGGCTGAGGGTCTGTGAGGGTCTGTGAGGGTCAGTGATCAGAGGAAGGATGCAGGAGAACAGGTATGACACAGTGCAGTCCTGGAAGTGAAACTATCCAAAGGTGTGTAAATAAAATGGCACAATGAGTTCTGCATGCAGCGCTGAAGCACACACTGCGTATATGTAGGACTCAATACTGTACTACGCTAAACAGCATCTATTAACGTGTGCTTGACATTTTTGTGTCCAACTACAATAAAACTTCCACAATTATAGATTAGACGACAGACCAGCCCCACATCTGTTCATTAGCATCTGGATTTAACAAAAGCTAATTTTGTCTCTAACACAGACAGCGCCTACAGCTCAGCACAGCCACGTTTAGGACTGAATCCATTTGCAGCAGTCAAACTGAAGTAGCTCATTTTGCATTTTTTCCATGAATTGTGCACACAGAGGAGAAAGCACAACGAGCATGAAATTCATGATACGCTGCCAGCAGCTCGGCACTCGACTGACTCAGCATGAGAGCTGCTGTGGCGATCCGCTGCTTTAAACGCAGGAAAACGAGGAACCATTTAGACATGTTGGTTCTAAATTCTAACTATTTAGACTGACTCAGATGAACAACTGGAAGATTATTTGTTAAAATCTGGTAATGGTCGTTTTGTGCTATATTCAATCAGGTTGGGAGATCACGCCACCCTCCCATTAACATAGATGACGGGGGTTAAGTAGTGGGGACATTTTTCAATGTGATACACTCGAATGCAGCAGCTCCCCACTATGACCTCAATAAGAATATCAATATCAATGGTAACTGAATATATTAAAGACTCATAATAGAAGAATGTAGAGAAGCTGCTGAACTGAACAACATTCATCAGAACAGGGCCCTTATTCCATCGCTCCATAGTCCAGTTCTGATGTTCTCAGGCCCGTTGGAGGTGCTTTCATCGCTATTTCACAGCCAGCACTGAGATATTCAGCAATTTGTGCTGCAGTCGCTCTGCTGTGGGATAAGAACGCCACAGCCAGGCTTCACTTCTCACACACACATCAGTAAGCTTTGGGCCCCCGTGAACCTGGTACCGGTTCACTGGTTGTCCTGCCTTGGACCACTTCAGGTACTAACCACTGTGTAACCTGCTGTTTCTGAGGTGCTCTGATCTGCTCATCTAGCCATCACTACTTAGTCCTTGTCAATGTCTCTCAGACCCTCCTGCTGTCCCCTTTTCCTTCTTCCAACACATAAACTTCAAGAACTGTTCATTTGCTGCCTAACTCATCCCACCAACTGACAGGTGGCACTGCAATGAGATAATGAGTTCTTCACATCAGCTGATGGGGGTTTAATGTTGTGGCAGACTGGACAATGGCCGCCCTGCTCTCTAAATATCAGCGTTGGCATTTAAAACTCACACTGGACCACTAATATTGATAGGTAGGGTTAGTCTGATCACAAATATATTTGAAAAAACTTTGTATTTACAACTTGCACTGTGGCAACTCTTAGGCAAGAAACACATTCAAACATTGGGTTAATTCATTGATTTCATTCATACCAGCCTCAGTATCACAGGGAAGAGGAACCAGTTTAGTTTGTGAGTGTGAGTATTTTTGGGATGAATCTTTTAACTAAGCAGATGTAAAACATAAATAAAGTCATTTCAATAGTTTTGTGTTGAAGTTGGTCCAACATTTAGTCAGCACCACTTTCGTTTTTACTACAAATGTATATTCATTTCAAATACTGGGTATCAGGCTCTTTGCAAATAACTGGTATCAGCTCTTTAAAAACAAAAACAAACAACTGCACATATTGGTTCCTCCCTACTTTCTGCTACATACTTTTGGATTTGGATGCTGGCCTGATAATATGACAGAATACAACTGGATCCTTCACCAACCAGTAATTAAAAATAACCACAAATAATTCAAAAGTAGTGCGTGCTGCTCATTGTTTTTTCAGTGCAGCCCAAAGGCCCACTACACCTACAGACATGGAAGGAATGCATACCAAGGTGTAAAAAGTATGGAGATATACATCTGAATACATCAGGCTACTGCCCCGCTGACATAAAGAGTCACTTCACAGACCCTGTACTGAACTGAAGCTAAGCTAAATCTACTCTGAACTAAACCTGAGCTGGTCTGTCACACACAAACATGAGTGAGCTACAAACTTTGGCTGAAAATTGAAATCCTCATCACTGATACCAGCCCGCTATCCAGTCAACTGTTGACTACGTTTTAAAATTAAACAAACAGCTTTGAAATGATCAAAGATTTGTGGAAGCACAGAACTCATTTCAAAGTGTTGTCTCAGGCACCTTCTCTTCTGCTCATGATGGGAACTCTGTCTTCTGAACAAATGTGAAATTCAGAGGATTTCTGAGACATTCTAATCACTGAAACTTCAGTTCAACCCAAACACAACGAATCTTAAAAATAAAAATGTAAAGTTTTGTTTTGTTCAGCAGGTTTAACAGTCAAGTTTTGGTCTGAACAGGTTGGAGCCACAGAGGAGTCTGTAAGGCCGTCCTACACAGTGGGCTTTGGTTTGAATGTAAAGACTGCCATTTTGCAACAAAGCTTTTATCCTCTTTGTAAGGCAAGGAGACAACATAAAACTGGGTAAAATGCTGCCAAATAAGGCGTGAAAGTTTCAAACATATTTGTTTTAGTATGAAAAGTAAGTTGCACAGAACCAAACAACTGGCAGTGATGGTCCATCCGCACTACAAAATCAACAATTTCCCTGAGGTTTCTACCAAAGGGATCAATAAAGTTCTCTTCTAATTTAAATACCAACACTAGTTTTAAGGCAGATGAGACTAGACTGAAGATTAAATTCATTTAAATGAACTTAATCTAACAGCTAACTGGTAAGGTGAGCTCAGACAAACGTGGGCTCCCACACTGAGGCTGGGTTACAGGTCGGCACATGTGGCACTGAGAGGACGAGCTGCTGCTGCAGCGCCGAGCTCGGCCTGAGCGTCAGCACAACCACACACCAGACTGATTATGAAGCACAGAGAAGAAAAGAGAACTGTTCGGGCTTGCTGCTTCCTTCCTGCCAAATCACATTCTGTTCTTTCTTGCTCTGTTTCACTTGCACACCCATTTGAATTTTTCAGTTTCTCATCCCCCCATTATCACGTCGTCCAGATTCTCTCCTCCCCTCTTCCCCGGGCAGGACAGAGGTGAGTGTTGGGACGACAGAGGTCTATTTATAATGGGTTTGAGGTGGAGCTGAGACTGCGGCAGAGATTTCAGTCAATCTGGCAGGAAGTCTCGGAGATCTTTAAGCAGAGAATCTGTCACCTCTCCTCCGACAGAGGCACAGAAGGCAGGAGAACCCATTAGACTCAGCAGACAAGATGTCTGCCATGATCATGAAATGTTATTTATTTTATCTGATGGAGCCACTGGCTGAGTAAAACAATATCCACGAGGCTATGGGTCAGCTAACCAAAAACACATCCTCAGGAGTAAGGTGATGCCGAGTGCACATGAATATGTATGAGCACAAAACATATGCTGACATCAGAGGCCAGGGAATGTGTTCAAGGAATCACGATCACTGTGAATCAGCCACGTACAAGGAAAGTAAAAGGAGCATTAAGGAGAAAAAACAATACAGAACAACGAAGTGATACAAACTCACGTGTTAGTCATTATCCCTGGCAATGTTTCCTTAAACATATATTGAATGTAGAGGAATAAACAAGTGATCGCTAAAGGATGCCAGCAGATCAGGTGAAACAAATAAAAAGTGTCACGTAATATTCGGAGCTCGGGCCAAGTTGTTGACTGATTTAAAAGTGTGGCTATTTTCCAAGATAAGAACACTTGAATAAATAAATACTTGAATAGGTATAAAGTAAGAAAAAGACACTGTAGAGTTAAAGTGTCTAGCCTTGTTCCTCAGTGAATAAAAACATGACACCTGATGTAAGTTGAATTGTTGAATAAATCAAATGTAGCTGATTCCCAAAAACTGCTTCATCTTGCAAGTGAATACATGAAGCACAACAGTTTTCTGCTTCATCTTCCTGAAGCAGTTTGACTCGGCAGCACCGTGCATTGGCTACAGATTATGACAACATTATATTTATATCGCTCTGTTAACTGAACTTTGAGCTGGTGAGAAATTCCTCAACTGAGGTCAATTTAAGATGTTTGGAGAGTAAAATGATGCATGAGACTTGCAGAACGGAGACTTTTTTGTGCTCCTCAAAGACAATTGTTGGTTCCCTCCCTGTAACATTGTACTTTGTTATGTGAATAATGTGAGCTATGTTGTAAAATGGTGCTACTGAAGGAAAATGTAATTGTGCAGTATCATTAGTGAAGGAAACTAACTAGTGTTGCAGCCCACTGAGCAGCAGTCAGTGTGGTCATCTCAGTGGAGAAAGTAGTAAAACCTCCGCACCTCTGGAGAGTTAACGGTGCATCATTAACTGGGATTCTTCACAGAAAGCAACACATGCAGCTGTGTGGAATCACATCACACACTGTGGGTCGCGTACTGTCGGAAACAACACTGGTTCTCCACAGAAAATGTATACACGCAAACTCTGCTTGATTTGTTTACAAATGCCTCTGGGGCAGACAGAGCTAAAGCTAGCTCACTTTAACTAAGGTAACAGTTTGGTTCTAGTAGTGCAATGGTACACAAACATCTGATGGGTGCACACAGAGGCACATGGACTACACAGACACACACATGTTCAACAGACAGAAGGAGAGGCAGACCCTGCTTCAAAACAGCAGCATGCAATGACAACAAGCTCACATGAAAGGAGAGCACATAAACATAAATCAAATACTGTTGTTATACATTCTTCATCTTATTCAGTGTATGTACTGCATATATCCTCCATCCTGTAGCTTATTCATTGTTCATGCTGTTTATAGTGTCAGTACTGTGAAAACTGTTCATACCATTATACTGTTATACAACTATTCATCCCTACCTGTAGCTGATCTATTTTATATTGTCTACAGCTACATATCATGTACTTTGTGTGTTCATGCCACTCTGTGCCTACTGTTCCTTCTGTTTATCCTGTAAAACACTCTACACACCATACTGTATACAATGCATTTCTGTTTAGATGCTAAACTGTGTGTTGTTGTCTTACTACTTGTACTCTGTGCAATGACAATAAAGTTGAATCTAAACTAATTTTCAAGAGCTAAAATGCTTGAGACACCATGCTCCATCACTAAACTTGGGCATTATGTGCACTACAAACTGATTAGTGATTGCTCTGCTGACTAATTTGGGTTTTGTAGACGTCACTCACTGACAGCACAAACGTAGAACATACACACTGTGAATTGAAAAATAACATGTTGTTCTGTGCTCTATAAATCACTGAAATATTTCACAGAAAACAAAAGCATGTTCTGGTATTGATGGCCTAATCTGCCTTGTGTTTCTTTGTACAGCATCTTTAATGCAGTTACAGTGCAGTTCAAAGTGCTTCACAGAACACTGATGGGCCACGAATAAGACAAAGTAGAGAATTAAATAAAACTAGAGCTCAAAACTAGAAAAGATTAAAAAGCCAAACTACAAATAAAATAAAATGAAAAAAAAATGTACAACACAGATAGAATGGGATAACTAAGTCAAATAACAGAAGCAAGGCTCTGGAAGCTGGTCCTGGTATATAAGTGCTGGGTTGCTAGTGAGCTATGTGAGGGTTAATTATAGAATTACTACACCAAGGAATGAAAAGGAAGCAATCTGATGTCTGAAAGTTAAAGTTTGGTCATCTGTTTTCCTCCAAATGGCTAAATAAGATCTCTGTTCCTTGTTATTAAACCAAGCAGCTGAGCACAAGGAAAGGTTTCTGATTTCCTTATTGTTATCGGCAAGTTAAAATGTGACTTGAAATTACATTTCTGTGTGTTACAATCACCCACTGGAGACTTTTTAAATAAACATGAGTACCAGACTGACAGGTACAGTTTGGTAAGTCAGTAACTTCTATCAGTTCGAGGAGGTTTAGGTTTAGTTGTCCAGTATTCTTACCCATCCCTGAGTCCTTCTTGGTGCCGTCAGATATGATCTCTACGTGGTCTCCATCCACATCATAGCTGAAGAAATCATTGAGGTACGTCTTCGACCTCTGACCCCCGAACACATACAGACAGCGGTTTCTCTGGTGGTCAAAACAGACATAATAATCAAGCTTAGCCTGCTAGGATTAGACTCAGCAACAGAAGTAATAGATCTAAACCCAACATCAGACTCACAGTGTGGAAGAGCATGCAGTGCCCAATGCGGGACTGGACATCTTCTGGCCCGGCGTTACACGAGTCTTCTCGCAGGAGGCTCCACGTCCCGCCCTGGCAGTGGTAGGCATACAGGCCACTGAACTGCGGCTCTGACGTCCGGCTGTCTTCCACGCTGCCGTTACACGTCAGGATCCGACCTCCGAACGTGTAGATCATGTGTTTCTCTGAGTCCATGCACATCTGCAGGAAGGGCAGAGCGAAGAGGGCAACGGGGCAAGAGGCAGAGGAAACAGGAAGAGGTTCAGCTCAGGCACTGATGGAAAAGACAGCAGCAGGAGTTTGTGATTTCCACTGGCTGTGTTCATCTATTAGCCAAATGAATTATTACAGAATTTGTCTATGCGTTCAGAAATTTATGGTAGTTTCTACATATACTGTATATTCCATTCATTAAGTTATTTTAATAACTGCTGGGGCACTTTTAACACAAGTTTGTTCTGGTTGGCTGTGTTAAGATGTGTTCTTAATCGGCATGTGTTTGTCTATAAATGTGCATTTTTATCAAATTGCAAAGTGTTGAAATCTCAGGGCCAACATACAGTTTTGCCTAAAACATGTTCATGACCAATCACATCGCAAGATATTCGATTTGACACTGAGGAAGATGAACTAATTTAAAGGTATAATTTTTGCATGATGTGAAAAATGCCTCATATGTGTTTCCTCTGCTGTCCGTTAAACAACAGCAGTGAGACATAGTTCTCTGCAGCCACAACAGTAACGTAAGTTAGTGAACACTGTTCACCTCACTAATCAGCTGACAACAACCAGTTTAAAAAGGCTGTCATACTACTTTAGTGATGTCGAAATGTAAAGTTTGTAAAACAGCATCTCAAACTAAACATGGCAGCAGGACAAAGCTGTTTCAACACTTGAGACTAAAGCAGCAGTGGAATGAGAGCAACGTATGTTTCATGTGATTCAGATGCTGGCCCCATCCCACTTATAAAATCCCAGCTAAAAGCACCGACTGTTTTGTTTTGTCATCTGTACGACATGTGAAGAAAGCAGCAGCTGCAGTTTTCTTTACAATATTTACAAGTTGGTCTGGACATACAGCCCTAATTGCTGAAGAAAAGTGTATACGTTTGGTAAAGAAAACTACTTTTGACTTTTGTTTTGTATTTAGAGCGAAAAAAAATCTAAAATAGTGAATAATACATAAAAAATAAAATAAAATCTCATTTAATTGTTTGGCCATGTTGCACAGCCCTATTTCCATTTGAGAAGACGAACAAAAGTTCAACAAAGCCTATACATACCTTTACAAACACTTGAAAGCTGAACTTGAACAATATGGGACTTTTTTAAAGCTTAATTAAATCTTAATGGGTTTGTGACACACATTGTTTAAATAGTTGCTGGTTTATAAAGCAGTCCAACCAGAAACTAACAGAGCCTCTTAAACTTATAATGTTTTACAACAGTTCATTTTTTAAATCACTTTGGAATATGTGCATTTAGAATTGAATAGGACCACTTCTCTTTACCTGGTGAGGCAGCTGCTGGGGTGGATAAACTTAACAAGTCGCAGTAATGTGCTCAGCTAGTGCCAGTTTTCCAGCCCATGTGTAACAAGAGTGTCAAAGGTCTGGATGTGCAGCTACCTGGTGGTCAAACACCAACTTCGGCCCTCCGTCGGCTGACGTGTCCTCGCTGAGTAGCGTCCAGGTGTTGGCGTCAATGTCATAGCGATAGAAGTCACTCTTCAGGGACTTGCTGTTCCTGACACTGGAGTCCAGGTAACGGCCCAGCGTGTAGATCTGACGTCGCTGTGAGTCGATGCACATCTTGTGGCACGAGCGAGCACTAGGGCCACTCTGATTCGTAGACAGGAGATAGACTTACATAACTTTTCTTTTTTTTAATTTTGAACATACAGATGGTGTCTTCAAGTAATAAGTATCTTGATTACTGTAACATGTTAGGGTCAATACGTTTAAAGACAAGACCAAATATTTGGAAAAACAGCCAAATGGTTTTCCTGAGCCTTCCTCACCTCCTTCTCCGTGTCCCTGGAGATGCAGGCCCACTGGTTCTCTTGAACACTGTAAGCCCAGAAGTCTGCCAGGTCCTGTGTGCCGTCCCAGCCCCCGAACAGGTACACCGTCTCTGCAGGGAACAAACACTGCTTAGTAAGAGGGCCAACTGCAGCTACACAACAATGACCGTCTCCTTTTTTTTTCATGTGCATCCTGTTTTTGAAAACACTGCCAGTAATCAGGTAAATTAAAGCACTTTATCATCCAGCTCAGCAGAAACTCTGCCCCACACTCAAGCAGTTACTGTGAATAATCAGATTATGCTCATGCTTTAGCACTGAATTGAACACCTGGTGGTGTTTATTAAAGAGAATACGGCAATTCAGGTATGTCCTCAGACACTTAGCAACATGTTTACTGTCCAGAATCACACAAAACAGGCAACATTAAATAACCACAACACAACTGTAAAAGAATAATCACTTGGGATGTGCCAATCACCTTTTTTTTTTGCCTGATCTGCCTTTAATATAGTAAGCTCCAATTTAAAAAAATAAATAAATAAATAAAAAATGACATAATACAGTCACACAGCAAACTAGGCTTGGGCCACATCATAATAGTACCTATCACAGCATTTAGAAATCCCAAAGCTCCTTTTTCTATTGAACTGATACAGAGACACTCCATTAGCATGACAGACTGACGCACAAGACGCACCACAAGAGGTCCGTCAGGAAACAGGCAGCTGGAAGAACAGCAGAGCTAAGAAAGATGGTGACCACTGATGGGATACAACAGCCACTGGTCAGGGTGGGGCGGCCTTGTGATTGACAGGTTGTGATTGCATCATTTAGTGTAGTGTTCTGAGACAGACCTACCACTCACTTGTTAGGTTCAATTTAAAGAAAACAAAACGACGACGGCTAAATGCCCAACTTAAACCTTTAAACAGTCATCCACAAGTCAATGGTGACATCTCAGTCGCTACATCCATATCTTATACACTTTCTATAGTCCAACTAAGAGGTGATGCACAACTTTTTGTGATGCATAAGTATGTAGCCATATTGAGTGTTTACTTATATCTACACTGCTCAAAAAACTAAAGGGAACACTAAAACAACACATCCTAGATCTCAATGAATGAAAAATTCCAGTTGAAAACCTTTATTCATTACATAGTGGAATGCGTCGAGAACAAAATAACATAAAAATGATCAATGTGATCTGATCCAGCTTCAGTGGAAATTCCTCCAGACCAGTCAGAATGAGGCTCAGCAGTGTGTGTGTGGCCTCCACGTGCCTGTAGGACCTCCCTACAAGGTCTGGGCATGCTCCTGATGAGGCAGGATGTTCTCCTGAGGGATCTCCTCCCACACCTGGATTAAAGCATCAGTGAGCTCCTGGACAGTCTGTGGTGCAACGTGGTGTTGGTGGATGGAACGAGACACGATGTCCCAGATGTGCTCAGTTGGATTCAGGTCTGGGGAACGGGCCGGCCGGTCCATAGCATCAATGCCTTCATCATGCAGGAACTGTTGACACACTTCAGCCACACGAGGCCGAGCATTGTCATACATCAGGAGGAACCCAGGGCCCACTGCACCAGCATATGGTCTCACAGTGGGTCTGAGGATCTCATCCCGGTTCCTAATGGCAGTCAGGGTACCTCTGGCTAGCCCATGGAGGGCTGTGGGCCCTCCAAAGAGATGCCTCCCCTCACCATTACTGACCCACCACCAAACTGGTCATACTGGAGGATGCTGCCGGCAGCAGAACGTTCTCCACGGCGTCTCCAGACTCTGTCACGTCTGTCACATGTGCTCAGCATGAACCTGCTCTCATACGTGAAGAGCCAAAGGCCAATCTGCCAATCTTGGTGTTCTCTGGCAAACGTCAATCTCCCTGCACAGCGTTGGGCTGTAAGCACAAGCCCCACTGGTGGACGTCAGGCCCTCAGACCACCTCATGGAGTCTGTTTCTGACAGTTTGAACAGAAACATGCATATTAGTGGCCTGCTGGAGGTCATTCTGCAGCTCTGGCAGAGCTCCTCCTGGTCCTCCTGCACAGAGAAGGAGGTAGCGTCCTGCTGCTGGGTTGTTGCCCTCCTACAGCCCCCTCCACGTCTCCTGGTGTACTGGCCTGTCTCCTGGTATCTCCTCCAGGCTCTGGACACTGTGCTGAGAGACACAGCAAACCTTCTCGTACTGATGTGCCATCCTGGATGAGCTGCTCTACCTGAGCAGCTTGTGTGGGTTGTAGACACGCCTCATGCTACCTCTGGGGCTGAGAGCACTGACAAGATGCAAAAGTGACCAAAACATCAACCAGAAAGGACGAGAACAGAGACCTGGCCTGTGGTCACCACCTGCACTCCTTTATAGTGGTTGTCCTGCTACCTGCCTCTCATCTCCACCTGGTGTCTGCTCCATCCACCATCAGTGTTGCTTCCTACCTGGACAGGTTGATTTCACAGAAGTGTGACTGACTTGGAGTCACATTGTGTTGTTTAGATGTTCCCTTTATTTTTTTTGAGCAGTGTAATATTTTCAGTTGAAGGCAGGTTTATTTGAACATTAGTATGTTTACTACAGTCAATTTTTAGTTCAGAAATTTATAATTGGATATTTAAACAACATTTTGCAATTAGCTGATGTGGAAAACAGAATATTCTGGCATTCCTTCAGTGGTGAAACACAAAGAAATGCAACAAATTGTAGGATTATTTGTAGGAACACCTGATGGTTGTTCATTTTGGACCGCATATAACTTTAGGCATAGAGCTAATTCATAATTAACAAATAATCCCAGCCAAAATTGCCAAAGGAACTGTATTGTGTTAGATTTAAAATACAGGACATGTTAAAAAACAGATACTTCCAAATTCTACTGTAGACCGACATGAGAACAAAGCAATCTGTTGGGTGTTCTGTGGTAACCACAGGTGGCTCTTCCTGACTGACACACACAAGGGAACCCACTGAAGAATTTAACACAAAGCTATTGTACCAGAAAAAAAGCCATAAGCAAGATTAAATTTGGCAATCAAGCAGGCTTCATTTGGTGGTTACGAACCATCAAAACATGCCTGGACCAGCCCCAACCTGATCCTATGAATTGGCTTCCTTTTTCTGACGGTTTTCTGCCTTTTAAATCCCGACTCTTTTTTGCAAAGCACCCTTCCCACCCTCTGTCATTTTTAACTATGAATGTTTGGGAACTGATGAGTAATAGGGTTGCAAAAGAGATCAAGCAATTGTATTGTGATATACTACTTCTGATTAATAAGCTGCTCTCTCTGCTGTGGAAACATCATTGTTTAGGTCAGATAGAGGCCACCGTAGCTGAGGCAGATGGGAGATGTGGGAAGTTGTGATTGTATCAAAGACTTGTGTAGGAGGAAGTAAGTTGTGCCAATACTGTCGCAAATTCCAAAACAGAGTGAGTTGTAAAGCCCAAAAGTATTAGCTGAGCAACTGGTAGCGATCAACAATAGGTTCATTTGTGCTGAGGATTAGCAGAAATTGTATGTTTTGCACTGGTTGTAAAAGTGCCATTTCAGATGATGTTTGGCATCTAAGAGTGTGACCACATGTGTGGCTGTTGGGCCTTGCAGGTGGAGATAAACCTGTAAGAACTAAGCATCCTGTAGGCCAGAAGCATTTTACATTGTCTGGTTTGAAATGGGGGCAGGAAAAGTCTTGAAAGTGGACAGGGATTTGTCATCCGACTGTGTGACGCATCATTTTTAGCATGAGATCACGATGTATTAGCTCAGGACAAGGAAATCACTAATTCAATGGCTTGTTTTCAAAAGCTGATGTCACATCACTAAAATCGTCCCGGTGCGCAGGCTTGTGTGTTTAAATGTTTAAAAGCCGGGCCTTGCACACTCAGGTTCTTTGGTTGGGCATCATTACTAAGGATCAAAGTGGACCAGGCAAAAAGTGAGCGTTTGGAGGCAGAAAAAAATACAATTAAAATAAAAATTTGAAAACCTTTCACCACTCAGAAATACGCCTTCCATCAAAACAGCACATGCAGTGGAAGTAACTGGTTCAGGACAGAACAGGATCGGCAACAACAAGACTTTTTTTAACCTCACTTCTCTAATTATTTAGTTAGTGGTGTATTTCCTTTAACTTCTTTTAACTGCTAGCTCCTTTCTTTAATCCATTTATTTAATTCTTGTTTCTCAGTTCAGACACACACAATTACACGTATAATGCCGGCGCTGTATTTGTCCTAAACTGCTCAGGACACGATGTTCAGTTCAAGACGAGACTTCTTCAGTTCAGTAATTTAAAAAATTATTGTCAGCAGTCTATTCATGTCTACACACTCACACACCGGAACAACGCTTCTGGAGCGTCAGTTTCAGGGCATCTTGACAGCACACAACTAATTATGATTTTGATTTATTTTATACGATACTCGATAATCAGCTGGGAGTTTTCTTTGACAGTATCCAGCATTTGAAATGTTCTCATTTTATGAATGTTCTAAGTACTGTGTTAACATTTGTTTCCCGTTATCTGCACACTCTGTCCTTGCTGTTGTTAGACTTTTTCCTACCATTATACGCAGTGCCTAAGCATTTTTTTTTTTTTTCACTGTGCCTAAGCCAAATTAATGGGCGAACAACTAAGCTGAGAGCTCTCTCACGAATTCTAGTGTCGTTTCTGAATAAGCTGCAGCATCTCCTCTCTTTCTGACACGCACGACAGACAGCCTGTGGTGGAGACAGTGAAGCCAGGTCTGGGTAGGGTGAAGGGAAAATTACCATAACATGACTCTGCTCTGGACTGTGGGTGCAATAAAACCTTGCAGAGTAAAAAGCCAGTAAGACTACTTCATCAAACCACCTGTTCATTGAGCATAAACATGCAAGTCTACCACCCATCACCAGCACACAACATACCAGTTAATTGTGAACTCATATGAACAAATCTAACAAATGCTGTCCGTATGTTGGGTAGCTGCTCGCTTTCCATACATCTTAAAATCTGGCAAATTCGTATTAACTTAGATACAGACTGAGATAGCAATATATAAATCAATTACATCCCTGTTGTGAATTTATTGTTTTTTAAAATAGAAAAAAAAATCTTGAGCAGTAGAAGCTGGCTTGTGGTTACACCCCGACTCTGGGAGGATGACAAAATCACAGCTCTCTAAGCCTTGTTTACAATTGTTCTGCTTACGTCATCTTAAATTTGTTTAACCTTCCTCTAGCTGATGTCTCGAGTGTTCTGTGAAACACTACAACCTGAGTTGGTATTTTATAAATAATGCAGCGAAAGTAACAGTCATTTTTAATTTATGGCATTAAGAAAAAGGTTGTGGGTTAATATAACATCATCTCCTCATAACCCCAGGACCTAAGTCTTCCAGAAACGTGAAGACAACCATGGTTACTGTGGTGGTTTGTCCTTCTGCACTCACACTCTATTTTTAAAGGTATAGACACTAGTGTTGAGTCGATAACAACCAAAATGTAACGGAAAATCACTACTGCTCAGAAAATAGGATCAAGACGCCAAGCGGCAGGACTGACGTTTGCAGCAGCATGAATGAATGAGTTTACATTTCAAGTCAGCCTTCCTTGTGTTACATAGACAGGCTCTGTGGCAAGAATGTCCACAGTGATCAAAAAAGAAAAAAAAAATGTGAGAATTTGAATGGGATCAGGAACAGGGCAGGACTGTTAAAACACAAAGACATCCTTTGGTGTCTCCTGTATCAACTTCTTCTATTGACTACTCCAACCAAAACACACAGTGGTCAGTGTGTGTGGCCTGAGACGCCGACCAGAGGGATGCAATGCCTTCTCCCAGCTCTGACACAAACTACAGACACTGCATCACTCTTTCTCACACACACGCAACACAATGCAGGCTTTTGTTTTTCCGATAGCCAGCGGGGAAGTACACGACCAACAGTCGCCAAATACAGAAAGAAAAAAAAAAAAACAATAGTTATGTGTCTCTGTCAAAACAAAGTCGTGATTTATGTGCTTTTAAAAGAGAAATGCCCTCCGGATGGTTTTCTTTTGAAGGAGATTGGCTGGAGGTGGAGCGGACGAGGAGGGAGGGTTAATTTGATTAAACAGCAATAGAGCTTTGCGTTCTGAATCTGAGTAGGAGGATGTGAGTCATAGCCAAGTCATAACACTGGCTGCGTGGGTCTCACCAGTCTGGACGTCAATGACCATTTGATGTCCTCCCCTCATCCCTGGCCTGTTGTCATCGCCGTCACCTGCAAAGAGGAGAGGAAGGAGGAGACAAGGACGGTGTGTGAGCGTGGGATGGTTGGAGGATGACGCAGAGGAAAGCGAGAGAATGGATAATGTGAAATGGGTGGAGCCGAAGGGCAAGAGGGAGGCAGCGAACAAAAAAGGGAAGGCGGTGCTGGTTTAGATACAAGGCCACAAAGGTTTCAGAGTGTACTGAAATGTCTGAGTCACAAATGGGGAATATTTCCCACTTGAATAGATGGTCTCACTGTTCATGTCGTCTCGGTTGATTTCTTGGGCGCTTGTACCTTTGTTGCATTTGGGGATGATCTGACTCCACCTGGGCTTGTACTCCTGCTGGCTGATATACTGGTTAAATAAACCATCTGACAAGGAGAGAAGAGATTCAGATATGGCAAAAAAAAATGGCCATTAGAAGGAAAACAAACAAGAATAACTCGATTATTTTTATTCCGCAGCTCATGAAAACATTCAAACAACAGAAAGACTAATGTTGGGCTTGTTACCTCTCACAGCTTTGTCTATGAGCTCCTCACAGGCATCGAAGTCTCCTTGCAGCACCAGTCGGTCGTGCAGGTGGGTGAGCATCGGGTGCTCCAGCGCTATCCGAGTCTTCTTCTGCAGCGACTCGAAGGCCTCTGTGTAGTTGTGTTGCCGGAAGTGTTTGAGGCAAAGGCGGATGGCTTCCTGTTCTCTGTACTGCAAGGACAGCAAGAAAAGAAAAGGGAGGGTTCAAATCAATACACAAAGGTTTTCCAATCCAAGCCTGTCAAACAGGCAGCTTTCCAACCTGGGAAACAGTAAATCAAAGCTGAATATTAACCCTAAAAGCTTTTAAATAGCAACCAAAAAGAAATAAAAGAAGCAAAACACCAAATAATGCCACCAAATATCTGACTAACCTTTGAGATGTGCTTGCTCTCTCTCTATCAGATTAACCCTAAATCAGACACAGCTGTGTAGTTTACAGCTTTTTATTTAGGTTAACCTGTCATGAACTGTTTAAGGATAATTCTGTTTTTTTAGCCTTTGGACTCCTCTCTGGGAACAAACACTCTCAGACAGAGTGTTCCTACACTACACTGTATTTAAAGGGATCATCACATACTTGACACATCACAGTGTGTTTACAAGAGAATACCACTGCATATGTGAAAAGACAACTGTGTAGAGACTTCAGTGCTATCAAAGGCAGCTGTATGAAGGGTGATAAATGTCCTAAAAGAGACGGAGTTATGGCAAAGTCCCTTTCTGGAGCTGAACTGCGGATGTTGTGGTTCTGTGGTCTGAACCTTTCTGCAATCAGATTGATTCTGCAATCACAACACCCCAGTGCCTCGTTACAAGGCAGAAGAACAAGTAGAATGAAAGCTATCTCATGTGATTGTGGCCTCAGTTAAGTTAAACAAAGTTACAGCTGCTAAACATTGACAGCATGCTCTTTTAGCCTGGTGAGTATGACGCTATTGTTAACAGCAGGAATGACGTCTAAAAACTTAATAAGAATTCAGTTTATCCTCCAAAATCTACTGCATTTGATTAAGTCTGACTTATTTTGCTAAATGAAAACAGACTTTTATACAGAGATGCACCAAAACTGATACAAGAATGGAGTCCTGTACAGCATCTCATCTCCAACTTCTGTGCTACAGCCCACCCCTCACCACTGTACACTGAGCAGGTAGGCGGAGGAGGAGAAATGTCAGAAGTCTGGAGATATTTTAAGACGACAAAAGTAAAGCAGAAAGCAGACTGCAAGCTCTGCTTTTCTAAATCATCGGGAGGCAGACAGAGGAAACAGCTCATTTTACTCAAGTAATGAACTAAAACCTTTAATGTCCTAACAAACACGGACCTGAACAAGTGTGGCAATGCTAGCAGTGGAGCTGAAGCAATGAATCGATTGTTTACCTGGTAGTCGACTATTAAATTAATCAACTATATTGATAATCACTTTCATCAGTTTGAGTATTTTTTTAAGAGTAAAAAGTCAAATTCTTAGATTGCACTTTGTTAAATCTGGATGTTTTCTGGTCTGCTAGGTGTAGCGACTAGCTACCAGCACAGACAGCAACAGCCAGCTTTGCAGCCAACACTGGAAAAGCCACAGAGATGACCGGTGTGCAAAGAAACAGCAGCTCTTACCCTCTACACTGATGGTACGGTATACAGGTATGAGGTTCCACTTTAGGTGCATGACATTGGAAAAAGTTGGCTGCCGCACATTTTAGTCTGACCGTCATTGGAGCCTGTCCAACGCAGTGGACTGATGTGGATTTCACTCGCAATGAGCTGCAGTACAAGCAATGCAGCTTTGGGCCTCACACACCACCCAGGCTGTAGCAGGTGTGGTCCTCAAAGTCACTGCACTGTTAAAATCATTAGAATCTTTACAGTAGAAATCCTGCATTATTATTATTATTACTACTAGTGGTAGTAGTAGTAGTAGGTACTGTTATAAGTACTAATGTCTGGTCTAAATGTGGGATTGGTGCATCTCTAATTTTTCAACAACCTTAACATTCTACAAAATAATGCATCAAAACAGTTCCATTTTCGTTCTGCTAAAAGGATTTTGTACTTTTACATCAGTAAAGAAAATAATATATGGATATAAAAGCAAGCCGTGCTGGAACTTCTTTGACTAGAGCCATGAGGCCGTTTGTTCGGTGTGTGTCTACATCTAAATCCCATTACAAAGAATTTCCCCATAAGAAGACGGATATTCTCATTCATCCTGCCTTTAGGTTACCTCATGCCTGGGAGGCGTAGCACAACATGAACTCAGGTCAAACTGTCATTTGTAATGATGCAGAGCTGCAGTATTGATAAATTACATAACATGAGTTCGTATGAAGTTCATCTTGATCAGCTGAATGTACAACGGGACTGAAACAGGAAATGTGTGACGGCCAGTTAATGAAACTCTGTTCAATAATGAACTAACACTGAGTCTGTGAGGCTTTCTGCAGTCATTCAGCCACCACATAGAAAAAAGATGCATATTCCATGTTTTCAAGTCTGATGAAAGAAAACCAACTGTAGGCACAATTACATTTTACTTTGACAGTTTTCAGCAGCAGTTGGGGACAACAACATGCCAGATCAATGCAGAGCCCTCCTACAGACAAGCACAAGCCTTAAATGCACAAAGACAGTGAAGCTCATTCGTGGCTTCACCCAGGTTTCAAAGTGAAAGTCCTTCGTCTGTTCCACTGCGCAACCATAGACCACACTGGTGTTGGAGTTTGTTGCTATTTATACGACCTCAGCAGATTCAGGCCAAGTCTTGTGATTGGCTAAAATCACCCCTCACAGTACTGAAAACAACACAGAACTGTTACTGCCCAGGGTGCAGAGTGCTGCATCCCATTAAAAAAATCAAGGCAACCAATCAGGCAGCAGCCTCAGGTCACCTGCTTCCCAGAAGTTGAAGGACCTACACACAGGCTCATTCAGAAACTGCCCCACACAGATTAAGTGTATGTATTTACACAGACATGAACCAAATGTGATTTGAAACCTATTTTAAGAAATCCTGACATACCTACAAGGTACTATTTATATTTCATAACTATTTTGAAATGTACAATTATTTCAAGCTTAATATGTTTAAGTAGTCTTTCTTGTCTGGGCAATTGAAGCGGGGCGTTGCCCCAGCATCCCATACTAACTAGCTGCTACTGCTAGCCTTACTCAAGGACATTTGTCAAGGTAACAGACACCTCAGAGGTGCTTTTTGTACAAGTTTAGTTCTCCTGCCAGCTGATTAATCCATCTAATTACAGATTGGGGCCTGCTGTATCTCTAATCCACTCTTCCAGGTCTACTGCACGACTCCAAGGTCCAGGCTTAGTTCTTACCTTGCTGTACCAGTTAAGGCAGGGCTGCACCACATCAGGGTCTTCAATACCATGCAGCTCAATGTACCAAATGCTGAAGTTAAAACTCGGACCCCAGGACATCAGAGGCACTACGACAAAAAGGAAGAAAAGATGAGGAACATGTGAAAACAGTGGTGAAGAAAACAAAGCACACACGATTGCCAAACTGCATCAGTTCTTACCTATTTTGACAAATCTGCAGGGAAACATCTGCTCGTCAATCTTGTGCTTTAAGGTGAACGTTTCCTTGTTGTAGTCATTCTTAAGGCCACTAGCAGACAGAGACAGAGAGAATCAAGATGATGCAGCGGTTTACAAATTACTTTACTGGGCGGAGATGCCAACTGAATCCATATGCTGGTCTATGCTGGACAGCCCTCTAACCCTGGCAATAACCACACTTCATCTGTGGGTTTGGCAGCAGCAGCAGCAGCCACGATCTGTTCTCTCCTTTAACAAACAGGCTGTCTGTTATTGTTGATGATTACCTGGATGGTGTGATTCACTAGCTACTGGGACAACTGCACTGCACTGATTGGAGGCTGTCCAGAGAAAAAACTCACAAAGTATTGCATCCTGGAAGACAATACGCCCAAAATCTCTATACAACAGGTGAGAATGGGAATGGCAACAGTGTCCAGTTATCATGTAAAGGTAGCAAACACCTGCTTAGTTCAAAAAAAGTTTTAAAAACAGTGAACAATTGTGGTCACAATTTACAGAAGATGGAATCTGTAAATGTTTCTCATTTATTATTATTATTATACAGAATATTTAAGCTGTTGTTAATTTTCTTCCAATCAGCTATGACAATAATCCTGTGTTTTAGATTGAAGCAGGAATCACCAGAACCGGCAGCCGAAGGTAGAAGAAGTTTATACATGCAACGATAAAGGGTTTGGAATTAACTAAGAATTTAACGTTAAATAAAGCACAGAGCATTTAGAGCAAACACCTAAAACTTCTCTAAACACAAAGACAGACGTCCACATGAGTTCACAGAATTCAAGGTGAGACCGTTTCAGTTGGTGTTGAAGCCGTTATCAAGAATCATGGAAAAGCAAACTTACTGGCTGGTACAGTTCTGGTATTGTGACACTGCTGCTGAGGACCAGTTTAATACCTGGCATTAAGCGGTATAAACGGTGGCATTACACACAAATGATGGACGAATGAAAGCGATAACAAGTACAATGAATATTACAATAATATGGACAAAGGAACTGTATTCTGTTTGTATTCAGGAGAACTCCAATTGAAGCCAGCTATTTTATCTCGGGTGTCACTGAACCGTCCGTTACAATACTCTCTACTTTCAGATCTGATTCCAGGCTGGTTCAACAGCTGGATTTGTTAAGCTGCTCCACAAATCACAACTAAAAAGGAGCAGTTGTGTTCTTAAGCAATTAGATGAACCTACATTCTTTAAAATCTAATTTTTGTGACACAAAACTGTTGAAATATGTTTTGTCACCGTCTTAAATGACACATTTTTTAAACTACCAAACGACTTCAGAAGATTCAACAAGGGGTTAGAAAGGAGGCTGATTCAATAAGCGGATACAGAGCTGGATGCAGCTTTGACAAAATGCAAATGGAACCTATTCCTGGTTAATGTGCAGTTTTTTAAACAGCTTTTGTCTCCGCTCTCCTCTGCCCACTTTGGGTAAATGTTCCTGGAACTAAATTCAGACATTTGTCACGAGGGGCTACTCAGACAAGGTTCCATGTCTGAGGTAAGGAATGAAATAGATAATTTGCAACACTTCAAATACCTCAATTACCAAAACATGTTCAGATGAGTGCTGCAAGGAAGTGTGTTTCGATGTATGGGTGACTGTCTAGCTCACAATACGGACTGTGTGGGTTGTTTTTGGGGGGCGGGGGGTCTGTCTTTGTAAACTGTAGGATGCTGCACAGTATGAGGACCTGCTTGTTTAATTTCCTTGTTCGTTAAGGCTGGGCCATTATTTGTATTCCTAGTCAACAAGTACATGGGTATTTCTAAAAACAAGTCTTTTTTTGATCGTCTGAAGGAGAAACCTCCGAGTTTGTGGTTTGGGTTTGAAATATATCTGTTGTGACACCAGTCCTGGAACTTCTCTGTCACACCTGGTCTGTACACTAGAGATGAAGATCACTATTTGAAACCATGAGGCTACCATTTAGGGTATATGAGATGTGGCTATTAAAAATCAGACGGATGTTGTAATTTAATTGTACATCATTTTAGCACCTTGAAACTTTCAGAGGTTGTTTTTTCTGCTCACTGATCAGCGTACACTACGTAGCTCAGACATGCACACGGTGCTTTGAAGCGACATGAGGTCCAGTACGTTTGGCAGCGTATGTGATCCAGGGTGCTTTTACAAACGAATGCTGACCTCCATGTGTGAGGGTTACACTGTTCATGGTCTCTCATGTGGTCATGTGTCATCATATTTCACATTTTTCACACAGTGAGCTCTGAACTGAAGTGTGTGGACAAAAACGTCAAAACACATCGTAAGAAGCTCTTTTCACTGGAGCCTCAGCGTGGTGCAGCCGGGTCGTCCTCAGTGTGCCTCTGGGCTTCACTTGCTTCCTTTTTTTTTGTAATTTTTACACATTTTGCCTTGAAAAATGATTGCACTGTGTACCATGGTTGTATCTTCTTTCTCCTTTCCGTCAACCTCTTACTGAAGTTGGTCACAATTCATTGATTCACTTACACTGATGCTTAAAAGTAATGAAAATAAATCAATACAGCAGCACTTGATACAGAACAGGGAACACAAGGCAGAACCTAGAACAAACACCTTACCGGGACTCATTTGTGCTTAAAGTGGAAAAATGCCTTTAAGGGTCTGTATTGACAACAATAAGAATCAGCTCGACTCAGAACTGAATCTGAAGCCAGGTCAAAGTAAAATCAATCCCACACATCAATAATCCAACTTCCTTGCTGCAACTTTATTGCCTATGGGATTTTATTTCCCCTGCAGTTGTCTTCTTAGGCAGAGCTTACTCTGAGGCTGTGTAAAACCAGCAGTGAGTTACAAATATTCCCTCAAAAAATGCTGTAAATGCTGCTGCAAACGCAGTCGCTTCTGACTGCAGTATTCACACAACAGGATTTGCATAAACGGGGATGTCTCACCTGGACAAAAGCTCTGTCATGTTCTCCTCGCTCATCCCACCAAACACTTTGAACTTTTTGAGGTTACAGACGTGAGTCTTCTCATACTTCCCAAAGGTGATGCTCTGAACAATTGCCGGCCTTTCCAACTTCAATATTAAAAACTGGAGGAAAAGAGAAACAGAGACACAAATTACACTGAAAGCAAAGAGCAGACTTTGGATGCACTTAGTGTGTGTGGAGGACTGCAGGAAATTGCCTGTGATTACGGCGGGCCAGGCGCTGTGAAAAGATTTGCTCGTTATCTAAACGACTACAGCAGGGTCAATCTACTGCATCAGGTAAGTGGCATTACATACAATCTATGAGCCGCGTCCGCATGTCACTGGCACTCTAACAAGCCAGGACATCAAATGACAAATGACCGGCGGCCGCTGGCCAGAACCAGTGGAGGCCACAGGCCAGAGCATTGATTTAATGTGTCACTGGACAGCAGGCACTTAACAAACCCAAGAGAACAACATTTTCATAACCACTGATAGAAGACGGGAACATTCTATCAATCTGTGTCATCAGAGCATATCAACAATAATCTGAGGTAAAAGTTTCTACATGAAATTTCCTTCCAGCTTTATGATGAATAAAAAAATAAAAGCAGCTCCACTGATTTGACTGTTGACTCTCCTGTCAGACATCGATCCTGTTTGTAACGAGTCAACATGCAATAAAACAGGCTGATCCTCCCGTCGAGCTCCTGCAATGAGTCATGTGTTCAAGGACTTTATTTACAGACCCTTGCATGTAATCTGACCCACACTTTGTTTTAATTGGTTGATGAAGAGGGAACACACTATTCCTGTCATGTGAACGTCATGTCGGGGAGTGACAGGGTGAAACAGTACACTATTCAATTGTGCCGCTTTGAGCTTCACAACATGCCAACAGTGGAAGTTTCCTTTTGAAAGAAGATATGTGAGCTGTTTTCAGGGACGTTCTTCCACTCTGGGATTCAGCACCGTGTTAGGTTGACACGGTTTTCACAAGCCAAAACCAACATGGTGTTTTTTTTCTCCAGTCATATCAGCTGCAATTTGTTTAAGTATGTCAGCACAAATCAATGACGGTACAAAGTAGGTTAAACTTTCCAGACATCAAGTTCCTCCCCCAGCAAGTTAACCGTTTACTGTCAAAAAAAATGTGAATAATGTCCGTCAAAACTTCCTACACCCCATGATGATATCTTTACAGTGCTTTTGTGTTTCTCCCCAGTCAACAGTCCAAAGTATTGAGTTTGTTACCCTCACAAAAGAAATGCAGCTAATTTCCAGAGTAGCAGATGGAATTAGAGAAAGTCTGGCACTTCTGCTTAAAAAGATGACATCATTATTTATTAGATGCTGATTACATTTCTGTAGATTGAATAAATATTGCTTTTTAAAGACGCCAAAATATCAGAATAGATCTGCAGATGAAATAAACTTACTGTAATTATTGGCAGATAATTGAAACCATGACATAAATTCAATTAATGAATGTATTATAGGAAAAATGCTTCATAATAGTGATCATTTGTGAAGCCTTTTTTTTTTTACCTGCACTTTAAATCTGGCATGTTTAACGTAGTAGTTTTTTTGCAATGTTTCATTTCCTCTTGCTGTACAACGCAAGCTTTGAGATTGAATCTCAAACTCTGGCTGTCTGCTGCAGTCGGTCAATGAGTTCAAGTTTTCTCATCGTATGAAGGTAAACTGTTCAGACCTACACGCTGCTAGATGGGCTCTCAAAGGGAAAGCCTGTGTCTGAGATATTTCCTTATTCAATCCACAGCCACTGAAAGGACCAATAATTGATTAGCTATTGGCAGCCTGTAGCCTTAATTATAAACAACAGCCACTGCACTCCTGTGTACAGTAAAAAGGATGACTTTGGTTGTTCTATATATTTTATTTTTCTTACAGTCAATAAATCTCAAAGGTATCCAAAAACAAGTATTGTCTGTGTATCCAAAAGCCCGATCTATGTTAGTCCTCCATAACACCACACAGACAGACATCGCTGCACCGGCTCTCACGTTTCTTCATTACAAAAAATAGGAGAATTGTACTTTCTTGACATGAACTGATAACATCACTTTCATTTCTGGAAACCACTCTCTAGCCATGTTATCACTGCCATGCATGTGACTTCTAATAAATGAGAACATTTATGTAACAGGGGTTCCCTTGTTCAGGACGGGCCTTTGGGTGGTGACTAGCCACAACAGTTAGCATCATAGGTCTCTGTACAGTAAAAAAAAAAGAAAAATGAAGGTCTTATTTGACAGAATCTAAGAATTGTATTGTTATTTCTGAACATTTGGTGAACAACAGTGTCTATTATGCTTGAGTAAAAGAAACAACAATTAACTAAACTGGCTTTAGACAAATATTTTCCACTGTTATTATTTTGTCGTAGGGGATTTTCCTTGGGCGCTGGCTAAAACCTCTTTGGGTTGTGCAGAAATTCCTCAATGCAGGACAACCCCAGTGCAAGCAAGCAAATCATAAAGCAGACCATTACGTAAGGCCAGGTCCAGGTAGCCATGAACCAGCTCATTAGCATAACTGATAAACCAGAGTTCTTTGGTTCAGTAGCAACAGCTAGTGACCTTTACATTTAGTTTTAACGTTATCAGAGGGCACTTTTATTAATCAGCTGCTGATATATGATATTTACTTTTAGTGCAAAGTTTGCACTTAGTATTTCTCTATATTTTTTGTAAGTTTGCCTGTTTTGAAAATTGTTTATAGCTCACAAATGCTGCGGAAATTCCAAAACCAACAAATATTATCTGTGCATCCTTTGGCTGATAAAAACTGCTTAAAGCACAACTACTACAAATAAACTGTTACACTGGGTGATATGTTCCTTTATTACAAAAGTGTGGCCGTTGTAGTTTATAAAGAACCCACTCCACAGCTCCCAGTTTCACCATTTGGCCTTCCCTATCAGCCCCTCTGTACACAGCTCTCAGTCCATTATTCACACATCTTCGCATTCAATGTTCTTTCTTTTACAGACGACAACAACAACAACAACAAGTAGGGCCTCGAGCTCAGCCCGTGCCACTAATAATTATTTGGTAATTTCTCAAACCAAAATGTCAAACATTTGCCAGCCCCAGATCTGATCATTTGATGCTTTTTCTTGTTATAGATAAATCAGGCACCATCAATACATCATTTTGGGCTTTGGGAAATTACAGCAGGCCACTTTTCACTATTTTCTGACATCTTAGAGACAAATGTTGAAAAAAGAATTGAGAAATTGAGCCATAATGAAAATGATTGTTTAGGTTTTATTGAGCTAAGTTGTTGTTGTCACTCATCCAGTTATCTGAAACCTTTATTTGCCTCCACAAGACAACTGAAAATCAGCATTCAGGGAAAAGTGCCATCAGTGAGGTGAAGTGAGCAGCTCGTCTGACCTACCTGTGGAGGATAGTTGCTCTCAGAAGACCACCTGGAAGACTGATCGTTAGGTTTATCCACCAAGATATTCCTAAAGAACACACACAGATGGGTTGGGTTTATTTACACCTGTGGAAATGTTAATTCATCACAACAGCAACGAAAGGACACAATCTACACAACACTGCATCAAAGTTTAGAGCCAGGACTCACAAATCACTACTTAACACAATACACAGGCGTGAATGTGTGTTTTCATAAACATGTAAACAAGTTGTTACTGTATAAGAATGCTTATGGAGTCCAGCAAGATTGTGCTGGAAGGTTAATTTGGACAATTATCGACAGATATTTAATGCTAAGAAACTGTTGTTATTGTTAGCCCGCTAACAAGCTACAGCTAAACTGCAGCTTCAGTGCTGAACCAGCAACAGGCGAATGCTTTGAAACTGTGGGTGACTTAACTCGTAATAAATTACAACATTTAGAGGTGTTAACATGTGTAAGCGAGCCACAAAGTGGGACATTTCGTTTCGTAACACCAGTCTCAGGTAGCCAGTAAACAACCTCATTAGCATAGCTGCTAAAGCAGGCTCTGTGGTTAGATAACAGCAGCTAGTTACCTACTTTAGCTCTGGGTCCAGTCAGCTAACGGGGGCGCTCGTTTTTAACACAATAGAATGCCGGAGTGCACATTGCAGAACGGAATTCAAAAATAGAATATGGTTTCAACAATTTGTTTGTCGGGTTTTGCATAGAACATGCCGAATTAGTTTCAAAGATAAGCACTGGGGCTGCTAATTTAGAATCTGCTCTTAGCAAGACAGAAAATATAACTTTATTTTGCTCTGTTTACATATAAAGGCAATGTACCGCCTCATATTCCGAATTATAGCTGCCATCTGTCACTGTCAATTATCTACATGTTCCCCACAAATAGCCAACCGTGTTTATTGGGACATACGGTCCCCCATAAGCGACTGTTTACCACAGTGGATTAACAACAACATCTGAGGCGGGCGACACAGTATCCGAACCGAACGTCCCTCCCGCTGCTGACAAGGCTAGCGCTACTGGCTCGGATCGCAGACGAGCTAGGCCAGCCGGGCCGGCTGGAACAAACACTCTGCTGCACTGAGGCGACAAACGAGCACCTGGAAGCGTAAGACCCAGTGCACACGCTGGGCCGACTAATGTGCGCAATACTCACTCAGGTAAATATGTAGAGGAGTAAGAGCTCCATTTAAAAACGCTGAAAGTGAGGACCCTGCTCTCAGGAACGACAGCCATCTTGTTGCAGAAAATAACAGGCAGCGGGAGGCTCCGGGAGCGGGCAGCGGCAGCCTTAAAGACACACGACACCTGCCCGGCCTGTGGACCGGACACATACTAACACATCAACATCACAGATGATAGTTAAAACATAATAATAATAATAATAATAATAATAATAATAACTTCTTAGGTCTGGCCAAACTGCTGCCTCAAAACGGAAGTATTCCACAAATTAGAAAAAATAAATAAAAAAATATATGGATAGATAGATAGATCTAGATATATATAGATATATGTTTTATATATACATACATACATATATATATATATATATCTTTTTTTCTTCTAATTTGTGGAATGCTTCAGTTTCATATATTTATGTATAGGTTATATATTTTGTATTTTTTATATAAACTATTTATCCCAATACACTAGCCTGTAGTTCTCAGCAGAAACATTTCTTTCTGACCACGATGACCCACAGACCAAAGCAAAAAAAGCTCCAGGACCCTTGTTAACCCCCATTTCTGTCATTTTCTGTCCATCATGGGCATGTTCATTACCTACATTTAAATAACACACAGCTCCAGAATTGCTAAATTGCAGTTTGATTACCTGCCAAGGTATTTACCAGAGTGCACACTAATGGTAAATGTCCACTTAAAAATGCAAATTTTAAAACCAAATCTTGAGACAGGACCATTTGCAGGCAAACTAAAGGTTTCCTCAATACCAGTACTGTACTGAAAGAAGACAATTTATTCATGCTGGAATAAGAAACTGAAATTGAAATGGTTTTTTGCACGCTTCTGTTTTGCTCTTGTTTTGTTGCATATTACTATTTGCACTCCAACTCCACACAGGACTTTTCTACTTGACGTATTACACTTATTGTATATTTAGCATTTCGTTAGCCTCATAGCATACTTGCCTAAGTCATATTTTCATGTTTTTGGGAAATGAGAAAAAACACAATTTTTAGAAATGACATTGGTATTTATTATTGATTTTTTAACAGTACATTCAACCAGATGTGATTGGCCAATGACACAGGTAGAAAGACAGGATGATGCAGAAGTGATAGGAGAGTAAAGTTAGGCAAATATCTCAATTTGACCAAAAAATGATTTAGGCAATTATGCTATAGGCTAACGATTTTATTTCTCATTGTTTATCTTTGCTTATTTATCTGTATTCATGGTGGTGGTAACTATATCTTTGTGCTGTAACAACCAAATTTCCCCTTGGAGATTAATAAAACATTTCTATTCTATTCTAAGTAGGCATCCGTCTGCTACACAGATGCTGTCATTGCCCCTCATATAAAACACAGGAAAACACACACAGGGTTTCTGCAGATGCTTCTGAAAGGCTGCGACTTTGCGCTTTTTACTGGACATAGCAGCTGGTTACAGAGTGGGCCATAGCAGTGTGTTGTTGTGTTTGGTTCTGTGGGTGGACATGGCACAGGATTTCTGGAGAATTTAGACCTTCTGGGCTCAGTTCATTGAAAGCATTAACAAATCAAAGCCCTGCAAAAGTCCAGCAGCTTCAATTATAAGTGTTCCAGGCATCAATTGTAAAGGCAGGAATGACAGAACATCTCCTCGTGCAGTCTCTCCTCATTGTTTTAGGCATCGTTTGTTTTTGTTTGTACATGTCCAGTCGACACACTTGCAGCGCGTTCCATCTGTGCGGTCACAGACTTTGAGCTGCATGCTGCAGATCCTCAGGGACCCTCTTGGGTGTGGGACACGGAAAGCATGAACCGGCCTTGAGAGAGGATGTAATAAAGAAGCCCCCACCCTGATGGTGCTCATCATGTCAGCTGATGCTTTATTATGCTTTGATGCTGCACATCACCCCATTTTTATTCCACAGAACTTTTACAAAAGATTAAACACTTAAATATGCGATTAAGACAACGTGACTGTACCCTATGTTTTTATACATAGTTATGTACATTCCTGAATTAGTGGATTTTCACATCGTCACAGGTATATCTGCTACATACGATGTCTAGTCTTGCCTTGTCTTGACGTTAAGTCGATTATTATTAGGTCATACGCTCTCTGTAGGCACATTAGACT